GGGGAAGCGCACATATGCATGCACGTATCACGGGCCGCACCTCTCGAATGGCATGGGCGACCACTGTAACCGTTTCGTGCCGACCCCGGAAGATGGCGCAGCGGCCGCGGGCGGGAGCGGCGACGCGGAGGGAGGAAGGGGGTCGTCGGGCGGAACGAGAGGCTTAGCGACAGGAGCGATACCGCTGCGCGCGGGTACGTGAAAGAATAAAGTGTTTGAGAGATTTCTTGCGTGTGAACACGACCGAAGCAACCAGTGACGAGGTACGTCACAGATTTCACAAAGCCTATTCTGAATTTAGAGATACTAAATAGCATGTCGAAAAGGATAAAGGCTGGGTATTTAGAAAGGATAGTTAGTATGGGTAGCTTAGAAAATCGCCCCATGGTATGGACGAGCAAAAACAATAAAAAAGGGCAATGAGACCGAGAAAAAAACCAATAAACATGCATACTTTTAGAAGTTGAAAGAAATATACACTAAAAATGTCTCTATTACAGTGGTACTCCAGCGTTTTCTTTATGGTCCCCGATATGTCTGAAAATTTCCTAAATGGACCAACACAGATCGCTCAATAAGTGTCCCAAATATCAGGCCAAAATAATTTTTTTTCTGCTAAGTTATCGAATTTCCAATTTGGAACCTCATCATGTTTTTCCAAGTGAAAGCCGCTCTTGGCAAGAATGCAAAAATGACGTCAGCAGAAGGCAGGGCTTCACTTTTTGGAGGATTTGTTCCCAACTGATTCCAAGCAGTCTCACGGTGAATGCTTTGGAAGCTCCCTCCAGCACCTGCCCAGCAGCAAGAAACAAATGCTCAGCATCGTTCACTTTTAGACTGCCTGCTCGACTAACAAGCCTGCGTGCCACTGATGGCACGGCACTGAAAAGTGCGGGTACACTTAAATGCTGGCTTTGGCATCACTCTCATTTGCCGATTTCACAATAACTGTTCCGAATTTCCCGATACAAAATAGCGTACATGAAAGGGTTAATTACAGGGATTAAAAAAATATAGTTAGTTGGGGTAGTTCCAAGAAACTGCCAGAGTAAGAAAGTATACAATGTGACGACACTACATTTCCCCCTTGACTTTGAAAAAGAAAATTGCTTCAGCTGAGTAATCTGCCAGCCTTGTTGGACGATTTCTGCGAGTTTGACGTCCTGGATGATGCCTGCTTTCTGCTTCTGGTGCAGCCTGGGTACCACCAGTTGGGGCGTCCCCACTTGGTCCCGCTTCTGGAGGGTCTTGGTTGCCAGTTTTTGGACAGTCAGTTTCAAGAGGGTCTTCGTCAGTGTTCTCGAGCAGCCTCCTGGAGGTGTCATAGGCACTCCAACTTTCCATGCCCCGGGTCTGCTGATCCTGCCGTGGAATTCGCTCAAAAGAAGAAGTGTTCCTGATGATCCTTTTGTTTCCTCGTTCGGCACCGCTTGCTGTCCCCTGTACTCTTGACACGCTGTACGGTTGCAGTTCGTAGCCAGACTCGCGAGATCGAGGTGCTGGTCGCTTCAATAGCCCGGTGCCTCCTGGTCGAAGTCCGTGCAGCACTGCACGGCGTTTCTCATCAGCATAGGTTTTACAGCGAAGCTGTTTATGGCTAGGATTCCGTGCATTTTTCGTGGGCACGACCAAACACTCCACGCTCGCACCGCAGGCACGCGCCTTCGCCGTAAAAAAGAGTCGAAGTAAATAACCGAAATAAAGTGTTGACGACTGAGCGTGCTAGATGCCATTTCTTTTAGGCTTGGAACGCCATTTCCTGCACGCGTGGAACACCATTACCTGCATTCTCCTTGATGCTTGGGCGATTTAGCAATAGGTCTATTCAGCAGATTAGTAATCAGAAGGCACCATTTTCAAGATGAGTAGACTCTCAGGTAGATACTAAAGGTTTCTCAAAGATTTGCCGCTGTGCGACCCGCGTCGGCCATGTCTACGCTCGCACCGCCCTTTCTTGGTTGTCGTTCCAAGTTCTTAATTGCGTGCCTAGTTCCTTTTCTTTCCGCTCTTCCAGGGTGGCAGTCCCATCGCGCGTGTCTACTTTCCCCCAGGTCGCGGTCCCTTTGTGCGTGTCTAGTTTCCTCCAGCTCCTTGGGGCGGGTCTGTGTCATGTGCCAAATACCTTTGCTGGTCATGCACCTTCACAAAGTGGAATGGCTCATGATTTCATTTTCTTTCTCTTCGTAATTCGTTGCGTGCTTCAAAATTTGGAATTTTTTTTTTTTTTTTTTTTTTTCTGATGGGCGCAGTTGATTGCTCTTGTAACTGGCCCATTGCCGGTTCTCTTTAGGTCAAATTAACCAATATTTTATATTTCAATATCGAAATAAAGAGTTTTTTGGGTTCTTTTTTTTCTGTAGAAATGTATGGGCTTTTGCCAGGACGTCTGAACAGGGTTAAATAAAACAATAAGTCAAATTAATGCGAGTCGACTGTATAGATAGCTTGCACGTGTCGCCATTGCAGTGATGTGATTGGCCTAAGCCATTTTGGAGCATACTCGACGGTGACAGCGCAGGGAAAACCAATCTCACCCCAGACACTCAGGAAGACAAGCACACGCGCTGAACTTACAACTCTTGTGTATTCGACTACTTCACTTTTCTCTTCAACGTCTGGGTTGGCTGTAGAAGAAGTATGGTTCACCAACTCGCCCAAGCTTCCATTCTATCATTTTAGAGGACCTTTCGGAGCAGCCAAAACAGTGTTTTGGAGCAGCAAATGTGGCCTTTGGAGCAATTAATACAGTGTTTTGGAGCAGCAAAAGTGGCCTTTGAAGCAGCCAAGACAGTGTTTCGGAACAGAAAAAGTGGCTTTTGGAGCAGATATTCTTAGAAAAATAAAAATATTGGTTTTTAGTGCTGTACATACGAAGGGCACTTTGTGATGCGTTGTGTTCTGATGCGATGTGTTGTGACGGAACTTGCTGCTTGTGTTTTTACTGCTGAGACATCCCACAAGTGTACAGTGCTGTAGGCATTGGCGAACAATTTCGAAAAACCGCTTGCCACCGTTTTACTGGTTCCTGATGTGCCAGATTGTCGTCAAAAGTATGCAAACCTAAAACAATGGATTGCAAGCATCCCAGCTGGTGCTTCCGTCGTGCAATCATGTTCGCATGCACGATAGGCTAACTTCGGCAGGCTTTCAGTTGCGAGTGCTTCGTCGCGCGAGCTGAGACAATGGCTGCTCGATCGAAACCGAAACCATGTCAATCCGCTCCGTCGCCAACTGATCCCCAAAATTGTATGCAAAATGTAATTGTCGAGCATACGACAATCAACAGTCCAGCGGCGTGTGCTTGCCAGGCCGGCAAACAAGGTACAAGCTAAACACACAAAAAATAATAACCTGAGTGCATTGATGCAAGACATCGCGAGCCAGGGTCAAAAAGTTCTTGGAGCGCTTTGTGCAATGACTGAACTCAAGACAAACAAGCGCGCTGCGTGGGTTCAGCTTGCATACATCGCCCTCTTTGCTTTAGCTACCCTCTTTTCATCAACCTTCTTTCGCGGCACATTTTACACGTACAGGGGTCCCTCTCGAAAGAAAGCCCACCCAGAGAAACCTAGGTAATCAATACTTCAAAACAGCAGTCTTTGAGTTAAAGAGGAACTTTTATAGTAACATATGATATAAAAAAGAGCAGGAATGTTGATGAACATGCAGCGGTGAAAGCACCGTATCTGCAGCTTTGTGGTAACGGCAACACCCAATGTCGTGCGACCACGGTGACTGAAAGGCAGGGACCAAATATAGTTTTCCCACGGCCGTTGCTCTCAGGAGAGAGGGCTTCAGCTCACAAAGTAACTCCCACCGCGCAAAAACATAGTTTTGTTTCACAGCATGACGGTATGGCTGGTACCTGGCACCCTAGCGTCGGAGCGTCCGCACACACCCGCGTCTATCATAGAAAAAAAAAAAGAAAAGGCGAGAGACGAGATTTACGAGACGAGAGCACGAAACGCGAGACGGCGAGAAAACCATGCAAGACCGGATGGACGATTAATGTAGGGTACTTAGTGTCGGGCTCAATTGCTAGATTGCACATGCTCAATTACGGTACTCAGTTTAGTTTCGGTTTTGAAAGGCAACCGAAATTGGTCCTTAGGCGCAGGCTTGGCACAGATTACCCCTATTTTGGCAAAATGTAGCAGGATGCAGCAGGGTTAGCTGCTTGGCACAGTTTGGAGCAATAGGTGCAGCAATCACATCACTGCCATTGCTGGGTACTCATGGTTATTTCTATTTACTGGTTCCCTCGAGCTACTACTTCTGCGGTGTAAAAGTAAGGCGGCAGACCGAACGCTCGTGGCACATAAAACACCGGCAAATCCAGAAATGACAATACGGGTGAGCTACGTACAAGCCATAGGTTTGTACAGTCCTCGGATTTTACTGCTAGGCAAAATTGCCTGGCGTTGACGCCACCAAGTGGCAGGGCTTGCAACTACAGTACTCTTGACTGTGCATGAACTGTTGACGTCACAAGTGCGACACGCATTGTGCTTCTCGGTGAACGACTTTGAAACGAGGGGCAGAGAGCTCAAGCTCACGCCGTTTCCATACCCCTTCAAGAGGAACTGTGCCGCACCGTGCAGGGTCTGTCCCACCCCAGCGCTCGATCCCGCTACTTTGCTGCCTTCGACACTGTCCCTTTTCTTTGTCTTTGTTGAGGCACAAGTTTGACGCATTAAACATTTAGTTTCTGTCTGTTCATTCGTCGCCTCATCCATTGTCATTCGTGACAACATCAGAAGCTGACATCACGGAGTCACTCACCATCACAAACTTAGGGTCATATCGCGAAGTCACTCAATAGTAACTCACAAACTCAGAGTCAAATCACGGAGTCACTCGAATTTCCTCGGAATCACGCGGCGGGTGCGAGAGAGTCTGAGCAAGCGAGTTTGCCGAGGTGTGCGTGGCATGTGTCGCGAGAGACAACTAAGGACTCTGGGACCCCCGGTTCGTCGTGGCACCGAGAGGTCCGGACTCACGGCGACGGTGTCGGCGACGGCAGCCAGGGCGTGGAATGCGGCCTGGCCCAGGTTGAAGGGCTGGCCGGCCAGGCGGGGGGGCTGCACGAGCATGCGCACCAGCGCGTCCAGCACGGTGGGCAGGAAGCGGACCAGGGGACCGGGCCGGCACCGGACCAGCTCCAGGAGGCTGGCCCTTAGCTCCGTCTCGGCCGTCTCCCCGTTGAGCAGGCGGGGTGGCACGTGGCCTCCCTCCACCGCCGTGCACAGCTGCAGGAAGCGGTCCAGGTACGGGTCCTGGCCACCCAACACCGGGGTCAGGGCACTAGGCCGCTTTGACGCCGCACCTTAGGGCTGGCTTCCAGGTTTACAGCATCACAAAAGAACCCGGACGGAGGCAAATAACGTCCCACAAGCCGACACTCGAGCCCCACACTACCCGCCGAGAAAAGTATTACTTCGGCGGCTATAAAAAGCCACGGCCGCAAAGGTGGCACCGGTCGGAGGCAGTCGCACATTGCGACTTGTCGCCGCACGCCTAGGAATATACCGCGAGCGTAGGAAGGTGAAAAGGACAATAAAGAGGAAGACGAGAAAAAAGTGTGAGACAAATGAAAAAGATGTAAAAGAAAAAATACAACTCGCGCTATTATCTTGTTAAAGCCGACCGACGCAAATTACGTAGTGTGCTCGTGTCTCATTCCCTGAAAGATTACGACAAAAGCGTATCGGGCCAAACACATCCAAACAAATCGAAACGGGTCAGCACAAACACTCGACGCATTCTGCGTTAGTCAACTTTATGAAAAATATAGACGTAATTTTTTTTAAATTAATCGGTTAACTAAGTTTCAAGTTAACAAAAAACGATCCATGCGTGGGTCTCCGATAGCAGCGAGCATAAGGTTAAGGCTTTCATTCCATTCATTCGTTGAAAGCAGGTATTATTTCGATGAAAGTTCTTGGTCAACATTGGTACAACTTTTAATTTAATTAATTAGCGATCGACTCACTCTCTATACTACGTGTCACTAGTTGTGCGCAGTGCAAGCAACACCAGGCAAAGAGATGAAGGGCGAGCACTAGGAAGGTGAGACGGGAGAAGGGGGAAAGGGAGAAAAGCTTTCCCTCCTCCCCTTCCCCAGCCTTCCTATGCTTGTCCTTTCTGCCCTCGCCTGGCATTGCCTTCGCCTGTACTGCACGCAACTAGTGACGTGGAGTATAAGTAGATTTCTAATCAATAAAAGGCAATCCACGCATGGTTTCTCATTACTAGCAAGCATAAGGTTAAGCAACTTATAAATGAAGTTGCCACTCAATCTGTAACTCCACTACATTTTTCAATTTTGGGGGTTATCACTGTTTTTATGTAGTGCACAAAATATTCCTAAACTATGAGGTTTCTTGTTTTTTCAGCGCCTCGAGTACTTTCGTAGATATCTTGCCTCGAAAGTTTGTCTAGGGGATCTAGGGCGGAAACAAAACTGCTGGCCTGAGAAACTGCAACCTTGCACGCTCATACCAGGATACAAAGAGTCTGGCCCAATCGCAGGAGCATTTCCAATAAGTCAGATAACAAGCTACAGCTGTTTTACTGCTCTGCATTTCAGCTATACAACATCTGTAGCAAATATAATGCATATTCATAAAGCTACCGGCTGAAAAGCGGGCTCGCCACTATAAATAATAGAAGGAAATTTAAAATCACAGCAATAGCTGCAACACGTCACGGCAAAGTCTTTGGGCATTTGCGTTGCATTCACGCACCGTAGGGTGCGTGAACAAAAGCGTTCAGAATAAAACAGACATCTGACAATTTTGTTCCCAACGCTTGTGTTTCTTTTTTTGTTTTCGGAAAGCGAGAAAGTGTGTCTTTTGGCACAAGCTCTTGGCAACAACAGTGCTACAATAGCATTTTGTTATCGGCTAATTTTTGTTTGGTCTAGAGAGCACGTGCAGCGGGCATCGAGTACTAAAAAAAGCCCTAAATATGAAGCGGGTTTCAATGCTGTGGCGTAGCTCAGAAGTGACGCCTCCACCCTGCACGCAGCAGACCCAGGTTTGATTCCTGCAAGTGGCGGGCAATTTTTTTAAAGGATCTGGCAACAACGGACACCCTACTACGCCAACTATAACAACAATGGATGTCATTTTACTTTTATGGGCATTGCTGTAAAAGTAAGTATTTGGTGCCAGTGCAACACACTCGCTGAAACAAGCTCCACAGGTGTTGATTCTCCACAGCGCACAGGTGCTCAGCAGGAAGAGTGCTCAAAGGGGGCTAACCAACCCCGATTAACACTTAAACAATATGGATACTGCAGTTCACTTCGAAGCAAATATTGAATAATGTATTATTGGAAACCACTATTAAAAAATTTTAATACAGCATGCGCGAAATCCTAATTTTGATCAATCAGTCATATGCCATGTGCCAGAGTTCCATTGTATGAAAAACGCAGCTGGCACTCAAGTTTAATATCCGTCTGCCTGGCACGGACCGCCGTGTCATTTGGAGACATCGCCTCACAGACCTTTAAACGCAGAATGTGTTTATGAGTTATTTTCTACGAGAAAATCACCACGAACGAGCGTCTTAACAAGTGGCATACGAACATCATGAACAAGTGAAACACTAGGAGCATTACAGATGTTAAGGTTAGATATAAAGATAAAAAGTTTGAGTCCTGGCAGTGCTCAAACTTTATTCGCGACTCCAGCAAAATGGATGCCGATAGCGGGAAAACGTTTCTGCCCATCCCTCGTGGCTTCCGTGATTACATGCTGTCGGCGGTTGTTCTCGTGACTCTGTCGTTACTGTTCTCGGGGTCGCTCTCAACGCAACCTACGCTACCACGTGGAGCGGACATTGAGTGTTTATCAAAGGCCGTCCTTCCGTCCCCAAAGAAGGTCGAACCTTTAAAGCTGGCCAACAAATCGCCGCAGGTTTGAAACACAGCGAATAAAGACAGGGGCAAACCATTTTGAGTCCAACGCTTGCCCTCTGAAACCCGAGAGTTGTGCGTTGAGCTGGCACATGGCACGGCACGACCTCTTTTAGACTGCCATATTTGCACGATAGGTTGCTGGAGGCACAAATATATAAACTTTATATATAAATAAGATTTCATGCTTTATGAGTTCCTTTTTCGTAAAGTTTGGGAGGTGTTTTTTGGAGTTTGTTTTTTGCTAAAAATTCAAAACTTATCAAAGTGTATTCTCGTTAGATTCGCAAGTCTTTGAAATTCAGAGTTTACCTCTAATGTGGTGCCAATTTTTCAAAATCCAAAATAAAGATAACTGAGTTGAGGACAGAAACATACCCTAAGTTGATGTGAGAGTTATTACTCCCAATTGCCTTTGAGAGTGTGAGTACTACCTCCGAATCGCTAGCGTCGACCGTGCCACGCTCCCGAAATGTGAAGCAAGGGAGGAGGGAAAGGGCGGCACCTGGGGGTGGACGGTGGAGGCCGCGTGGAGGGAGACGTCGAAGAGCCCCTTGTGCCCGTCCACCCACTTGGTGTTGGGGATCTGAACGCTGGGCGTCAGGAAGGAGTAGCTGGCCGGTGGATGCTCCAGCATCACGGGCAGCACGTGGTCCCCCGTCTGCAGGTGCCCCTCATGGTACAGCGGGAACCACTGGGGAGGAAACCGGCCTTCATTTCTCTTGCTGCCCGGAGCACAACTGCTCAGCTCAAAAGTGCTCCCTTCCATTTCCGCCCATCGAGGCATAAGGGTGGCATGCCATCGCCGACCCTGGCAGCGCACCAGCACCGGTGCCGAACGGGGCAGATGCCCTGTCAGCTGCAAGTTCAGCTTGGCACTGCACGGAAGCTTCGACAGCCACGAGCTGAGATGCTGCAGGGACAGCAATGCTTCTGTTCTCTAGCGCTTTTTTTGGAACACCCTATGCCTCCAGGATGGCAACACCCGACATCTGCGACGTTACTTGTTGCCACTTCGGAACCACTTCCGAGGCATGGGCGGAATCTAAGCACACCTGTTGGAGACACATTCTGGGCATCCTAGTTCTTTTGGGAGAAAGAATCTTCTTCCAAGAGATCCTTGGTGCTCTGTTTTGCGAGGAAGATGCTTTGTTTTGATCCTTGCAAGAAAAGCTAGAGTAGGGATTTGTTTTGATTTCTGGCGGGCTTTTCTATTCTTCTAACGTGCATGTAGTAGTGTGCATAAATTTAAGGCACTGTTCAGTTCACTTTACGGATGCCGCTAACTTTTTTCGAATCGAAGTTTCGATGATCAAATCAAGCGGTTCGAGAGGTTCGAAAGATTTTGATTTTTCGAATTGTCTATATCGTGAAATTCGACTGAGGTCGAATTTTCGAACTTGTTAAGCTAAGAAGTTCGACGCTTTTCGAACCGTCGAACTTATTATGCTAAGAAATTCAATATTTTTCGAACTTTCGAACTTATTGCGCTGCAAGGTTCGATGCGTGTCGAACTTTCGAACTTGACTGACCAAAAAATTCAATAAATTTCGAACTTTCGAACTTATTTACCAAGAGAATTCGAAAAGTTTCGAACTTTTGAATTCAGAAAAGTCAGAAGTTCGACGAACTTCGAACTTTTAGGGTAAAAGTTTGACGTTCGTCGAACTTCGAAAGACCGGCGGACGGTTTCATTTGATTTCAAGTAGAGGGGTACATTCGTAATTTTTTTCTCAAACTTTTACACGCGGTGTTGCGTTCCTTACGAAAGACAATGTCGTTTATTTCAATTTTCTGGCATGCTTAGGTTTAAAGAAATAAATCCCCGAAGGGGCGAGGAAGGACGACGGGTTTTTGACGATTATCGTTTGTGCCAGATTTGAAGCACGCTGCAGCCGGAGCTATTTATGGTAGACATGTTATACTTTTTTAAGAATGATCTATGTATAGCTTAGGCAAGTGCCGTCTTAAGATGTGATTATTGTTATTCAACGTGAGTTTCGAAGAAATGTCCAAACATTTATCTGCATGCAATTTTGACCTAAACTTGATATTTATTTTCGTCTAAGTTGTTTGAGGTATCGCATTTAAATTAATGCCACAGACAGTACATATCATTGCCATCTGCAGAATACAAAATAATATATTTATTGTTTTTTTCACGTTAAGGAATAAATCAACTCATGGGAGAAGATTTCTAATAGTGCTCAAGTTCAGCAAAGAAAACTTTTTTTTTTTTCGCTTCACGTTCCTGGGACGTGTTTGTTTTAGCCTGTACATATCTTGGTAAAAGAAACTTGTTTCGAAGTTCTAAACCTCTGAATATGCAAGAATAGAACACTTCCGACGAATTCTTGATAGTTTTTTTTTTCTCCTGCTTTTTATTCCCGCATTTATTCTTTCTTTCTTTTTTTTTTTTTGTTACTATCGGCACAGGTATTTAGGTCGAAAAGACAGCTTTGAACTTCCGAACCACTAAGCATGTGACGAGTAGTGCCTTCCGACAACGAGTTTCTAACAATGACCATCTACGCAACCTTTTATGCAGTGAAGAGCGACAGTATCTATAGCTATACATATGCATAAATAATTTCAGATTAAAATAAGCTCGACCATGCCCTCTTTCACCGTATTGCTTTCTTTAACAGTCCGAAATACCTGCAAGGTAGAGAAGGAGGCTGAAGCCCCCCCCCCCCCCCCCCCCCCCCCCCCCCCCCCGCTACCCTCTTTCCCCCCGTTTTTCCTCTTCCGACGCCACTTGTATGGTAGAACGCTCCTCGACCTCGAGTTGTGTCGGCTTTTGTGCTTTTTGCGAGGCGATTCCTCCGTCCCAGAAAATAAACCTCCAGGACAATTATAAACTTCACCGGATCGGATTACTACCAGCGTGCAAGGGGTGGCGAGCAGGTTTGCCAGGTCGCTTCAGGGTTTTTCTGAGCCTCAACCTCCTGCTCGCCTCTGGCCGTTTCAAACTGGATGAGTCTCGTAAAACAGTGTGTTCGTGTGATCACAACTGCGTGATGCAGGTTAAAGCCCCCCCCCCCCGGGGCTGGCGGCCACAATTCTGCACTGGCAAATATTCCAGCACATCCGGGACACTCGTCGTCTCATTTCATTGCCTGACCAACTTCGCAGAATCTAGATATCACACCCTAACTTTTCTAAACTTGATTTTGTGAAAACCAGTGAGTCGTGAAAACGTTATTTGAAACTGAAACTGTGGAAAAACTTGAAAATCGGACTTCGAACATTGAAAAGTTGGATTAGAAAGAAATTCAAAATCTTCAAAGATTTTTTTTTTTTTTTTAATTCAGCGTTAAAAGAGAATTGAAACTTCCGAACTTTTCGAACTTTATGCAGAAAGAAATTCGAAATCTTCGAATTGTTCGAACTTCATGTCTATAAAAATTCGAAGCGTTCGAAGTTTTCGAATTTTTTTTCCAAAGAATTTCGAAATCTTCGAATTTATCGAACCTGAAAAAAAAAAAAAAAAACAATATTCAAAATATTCAATTTCGAAATTTTAGAAACCGTGAAAGCTTCGAAATTTTCGAAGTCGAAACTCCGCTGTGGTCAAAAGTTGTGAATTTTTCGAATTCGAACCTCGGTCGGTACGAAAATATCGAAATTTTTCGAAATCGAACCTCAGTTCGCTTCGCAAATATCGAAATCTTTCGAAATCGAACATAGGGTAGTTCGCGACATCCCTAGTTCACTTAGGCTGCTGGCAGCCACTAGTAAGGGAAGCTAGCATAGGGATTTAACTTTATTTTAATTCTAAACAGTTTTATTTCCTCAACCCGGCTTGAGGTAGATAGGCACGACGGTTCGGTGTAGGAAACCCTACAAAGGTTTGACCTGGTGTCGTGTAGTGAGTGCATGCAGTGGGTGCACCTAGATGAGAGAGATTTTGAGAGCTTAGCAAAGGCGGAGGACGGTAGATTGGTCTGCCGAATCTGCGAGAGGGTTGTGGAGGGATACAAGTCGATAGAAGGGGAGTGCACAGCTAGAGTTGAGGAGGTCAAGCGGGAGTTTAAAGTAGAGTGAGAGAAGTGGGTGGTCGAGGAGATGCGGGTCGAGGTGTCAGCTAAGAAGGAGGAACTCAAGGCAGAGTTTCAGGAGCTCATCAGTGAATGGGAAAGAAAGGTGGAACGCATGGTAGGCGAGCTTAGAGAGGTGCTGGAGCAGCGGGTGGAGCTTGAGAGACAGGTGGAGGAGCTCAAGAAAGGGGGAAGCATAGAAGGCTGGGTTACAGCAACGTAAAGGGGAGGACAGGGTGAAGAGAAGGGGAAGCAAGCTTAGTGAGGAGTGTGAGAAGCAGGCTGACCTTGAGAGGCAGGTGGAGGTGCTCAGGGAGGGGGAAGCGTGGAAGGCTGAGGCAGCGTAAGAGGGAGTGGGAGGCTGGGTTGGAGCAGCTGAGGAGGGAGGCAACAGTGAACCTAGCGGGAATGACAGTATCGGAGGAAGGAAGCACTAGTGAACAGATGGAAGTCAGAGCGATGGAAGTGGCTCCTCGGCCCTCCAGTGCAGTAGTGGCGCAGGTTCCCAGCGGGGCAGTAAAGGACGCAGTGGTAGACCGACCGACACCAAGTGAGGTAGCGCAGATAGCTGGAGGGAGTCAGCCGCAGGGCAACTTGAACTAGGAGAAGTGCCAAAGAGTAAGCGACATAGAACATGCAGGAAGAAGAGACTAAGGTGCAAAGGTAAAGCAGATATAGCACATTTAAACATGCAGGGAGGTAGGAACAGGTTGAAACTGGAGAACATAAAAGAACAACTAAGACAGGAGGATTAGGGACACAAAACAGCGCTAAGGGCGAGGACTAGTGGAACAACCAATTAGCCCAACAGTTCCTTTCGTTAAGACAGGAGGATATAATCAGGATGATGTCTAGCAAATTATCTATTTGAAATTCCCCGACATTTCCAGGTTTTCCCTGACATTTTCAGGTGAAGCTTCCTGACCACTTTAGAGGCGGTTAAATAGTATATAAGACCACTACAACACAAGGCAATGACCATTGAGCACTGTGAGGATCATTCAGCACAGGCTTACTCAAGATACTTGCATATTCCGAAATATTTGGGTTCCACCAGTCCAAACTAAACAAGCACTTTTTTGCCGTTGACATCGTCAGTGAAGAGGCTCGTTATCGTTAAGAAATCATACGAGACTTTAAGGTAGTACGCAATTTAATGGCGCAGTGCCCAGTGCCATGCCCAGTGCCACAGTAAAAAAAAAAAGTTAGTAAACTAATTGATTTTCAGCACTTCTGACAAAGATACCTATGCATGCCCATTTTCAAAGATCGAACGCCTACACGCCGTTGACACGACCACATCCGTATGGTGGTTCCATGACGCAGGGTAAGAATTACCTAAACGAACACAACACAGTAAATCACAGTGGCCAGTAAAGAAGAATACTCCAATAAATATAAAAAAATATTTCCGGCTAGGTAGTTTCGGCGCAACACTTGCGCTTGGGAGCAGAATGGCGCACTGAAAGTGGATTGGTGCACAGTGGCACAATTGGCATAGCACTTCCACCCCTGGTGTTTTTCGGAGTTTATTTTTAATTCAAAAGCATTAACTGTCCCATGAGGTGAACAGATGTCATCAGCAATGAAACCACGCCAAATGTTGGCTGAATGGCACCTAAAATCCCCTTTCCCGAGTGAAGTCGATTTCTGATGGATTATGCTCCCATTTGCTGGCGTGCGTCCTCAATGAAAGAGGCTGCCATTGGCTCTGGTGCGGCATAATTAAAAAAAAAAAAGCCACCAGAGAAGCCCTCTCCATAACGGCGCAGCGCATGCAGCAGCACAGCCACCAGTAAGAGGAGGAAGTGATGGTGGCAGAACCACAGCCCGTCCGGGCAGACTCAGAGAAGCCGCACGGCTAAGTGCGACGCAGCGCGGCCACTTTACGGAAGCGCACGCTTGGTTGTTTGCAGGGCAAAACGTGGCCGTCCACGCCTCTACGCCGCAGATGAACTAAGGGAGCAGAAGAACAACGTTCATGCTTTGACATTCGCAACTCATAAGAAGTGCTTAGGTGTTGTCAGACCTTTTTTAGATTTCCGATTCTCCAAAATTTAAAGATTATCTTTACTGTTTCTGAATTTTCAGTATTAAAAACAAAAAATAAAAATATCCGGACAAAAACATACAGGGAATTCGTAAGAACTCACCAGTATCGAATGACATGCCTGCAGCTGCATTTGGCATTGGCAGTCTTTCCATAGGAAATACTAACTGTCCCACGACAAGTCTTGCAAAAAAGTTGCTTCAATTAAGATGAAAACTTCTGAATTAACGAAACACCTGAGCGTAGACGCTGGGAAGCAAGGAAGCTCCAGCTGACCTGCCTCCTTGCTATGAAATCTACAGGTTCGTAGCCTTCGTTGTTATTAAAATGCAACCCGTCCTTTTTCCAAAAAGCGCACATAGTACGCACCAAGCTGGAGACCGGAACAGTGGCTTTTGTCGTGACCCACAAGTAGAATGACCCCTTGTCTTGAACAAAGCTTGACGAGATAAACGGCTCTCTTTTGTCAATAATCCTATATTTGAAATGAAAATGAAGTTGCCTCTCCTCAGGACCACCGACCCTGAGCTCTCGCTCAATTTATTAAAAAAACAGAGTATTTTCTCACCTTATATTGCGCCATCGTGACCTGAAAATTCCGAGCTTTCCAAATAAATCTGAATTAATAAAAAGTTTACCGACGAGTGTTTTTCTTTTTTTTTTTTTTTTTTTTTAGTTTTGGGAATTTTCCTTAGAAAAGGAGACCTTATTTGCAACTTTCTTACTTACGGACACTTTACTGTGTAATGCCAGTGAGGGCATTGGAGATAAATGAACACAGCAGCCAGACGTTGTGGTTAGGGCCACTAAACAAGCTACGTTTTGAATAGCAACATTCTATTCCTTTTCTTGGGAGGGTCACCATTTTGATCACAATTCTGAAGCACAGCTCATGGAGTCAGCTGGAGTGGTCCGACTGACCGTGTAGCCGATGGGCGTCTCGGTGGGCGTCTGCTCCATCTTGCGCTGGCAGCTGATGTGGTAGAAGGTGAAGAAGAGGTGGTGCCGGTCGGTCAGCCTGGCCGGCAGCTTCACCTTCACCTCGTCCTGGAAGTCGGGGGACCTGGACACGGACAACGCCAGGCGCTGCTTCAGTCCCCCGTAAGACGCTGCTCTCGCCAATATTTGGGAGTTCCAAGGTCTCACCACAAATCTCCACGAGGAAAGTGAGCTCCATATACAAGATCTTCTGTCTTAGACAATGGAGAATTTAACAAGAGGAAACTTGCATTAGGCTGTTCCTAGCCCTGGAACTAAGTTGGGGACATGTGGGCCACTTTTCATGGCCCACATTTTTGTGTTCAAAAATCTATGTACCCTGCACTGCTGTGTTAGAACTGTAAAGGGGGCAGAGACCTCGTCAGGCATCACGCCTTTAGTCTCTGCCCACCTCCCGGTCAATCGGGAAAGAAAGAATAATAAAGAAAGAAAGAAAGAAAAGAGGAAGTTTAACTAAAAAGTTTGCATTACCTTTTAAAATTATTTTTTTCGGGGGGCACAATGCGTTTTGAGAATTGACGCAGCCATGCCATAGAACTTTGATTTAGGACCAGTAAATCTGCAGTGTAGTCAGGGTGATAGCTGCAACACCTCATCATCCCCCAGCGTATCCTCACGTGCCTTGCGGGGAGGAACCATCGCCAATGTCTGCTCGGAGAATGACACACTCATCTATAACTATAAAACTACCTAGATATAGATGATGTCACGCGATGCCAAGTGACACCAGGGTACTCGCGCAGCACCGTGCTGTCACATGACACCATGATTTTATGTGACATTATGATGTAGTGTGATATCATGATGTCAGTTGACAATGTAGACAACAGATGCCGCACATCATTTTGAGTGAGGGGAGAAGAAATAAAGGCAATTGCTGTAAAAAATTGCCCGACAATCACACGACGTGACGAGCTTAGACAGCAACAGCTGTGGTGCTCATTCGACAATATGACGACAACGATCGATTGGCATTGAGCCGATTGTGCGTCCTGAATGAGGTTACACTGAGTTAGCGTCGAAACGTTGATGAATAAATGATTTTAAGGTTGTGATGTCTTTTCCCGCCAAATTTAGCAGGGAAACTGAATTGGTGCATAGGTCACGTGACGTCAATTCTTCCACTAAATATAGCGGGGTAGCTGGTGGCGTTTACGCTCCCACCGTCACGAAATCGGGGAACGGGCCACTAACAGCTGTTGCTGTAAAATTCCTAGAGGGCACTATGAGGCGAGGAATGTCACCATTGTACACAGCTTCAGACCAAAACTAAGCAAGCAAAGAGCACCCTGACATTGATCCACCCACCATGCATTGGCTCCACAACCCACATGTTTGCACCACAGGTGACATCAGCAGTGCAACCAGTCATGGGCACGCTACCAGTAAAAAGTAAGTGTTACAGTTAAAGTTACCTAGGGGGAAAAAATAACTCTGTTACAGCTACAGTTACCGGTTTCAAAAAGTAATGCGTTACAGTTACAGTTACTGCAAAAATAGTAACGCCGTTACTTTCTCGTTACAGTATAAAAATTGGACACAAGAAATCACAAACCAAAACAATATTATTTTGTTTGTTACAATATAGTGAAAAGAAAGGTAAACTGAAAATTTTTTAAAATTTAAACCCGAAGAATTTTTTTTTTTTGCGTCATTCACCGTTTCTGCATTTTGATGTGCATAATTTATTTGCAATACAGTGTAGACCGCATATAATGTGTGTCGCGGGAGTCGCAAAAATCCGCACTATAAGCGGTACCGCGTTATAACCAAAACATCAATTTTTCAGACCAAAATACATGCCATGAGACTACTTACGTTTGTAAAAGAATTTACTTTATGTTAGGTGAAAAATAAAGCTTAGTTTGAGGAAAGTCTTTATTTCACCAGACTAGAACAGTTCTGTCTCAAGCGTGTCACACATTTTGAAAGAAATGAGCGACTTTTGCCTGGCGCAGCCTTTTAACAGCGTCGCGGGTTGCGGACGGACGTTGCGAGCGTTCAGGATTGCTAACCCTAATCACTTTTGTCCGGCGATGAAAACGCGTGAAAATTCGCATCCTTTATACGGTACGCGCCAGTAATACCTTCAACTTGAGCACAGGCATGAAATGCTCCAAATAAGAAATCCGGGCGATGTTCGAAAACACAGAAAGCACCACTCTAGTCGAAGTAAACAAACACGACGACACGGGTGTTTCTGCCGTCTTGAGAGTGCCGCCACGACATCGCCGCACGAGTAGGTGGATCTTCCCTTCTAGTACGTGCTGGGTTATCATAACGACACACAACGAAAATTCACAGTCAAGGGTAGCGCTTTTACGCGGAACGATGAGCCTCCATCATGCAATCTACGTCGACGATCAAAACCAACGCCATGTTTGCGGATAGACGCAGCCGGCCCGCGACCGGAGAGGAGGAGAAGCGTTGTAATAGAGGTTGGGGGGGAAAGGAGAGAGCCAATAGTGTGTACGCACTGCCGGCATGCAACGCGATCGAACACTTCTCCTCGACCTGCGATTGGTCTGTCGTTGCGGTTGTTTCCTACCATCGCAGCGGAGGGACGCGCGCACGAGAACGACACGTGTATGCGTCCCTCCGTCGCTATGGCAACTGCAGCCTCTCTCTTCGCATCTCCCGGTTTCTTCGAGCAACCTCCTTGCCCCGCGAGTGCCGCTCGCGGCTCGCGCCGTTATCTAGCGCCGCAAAGGGAAGCGTGCTCGCTGCGCCGGTCAGTCGGCACGGCCGCCGGGCTCTTCCAGAAACCGCACTATAACCGGTATTTCCCTTCGCGCGCCTGCATTTTAAGCGGTATGTAAATACATGGAGTTCTATGGGAGGCGAACCGGTGGTTTAAAAAAGCCGCGTTATACCCGGTCCTGCACTATAAGCGGTTACGTTGTAAGTGGTCTATACTGTAATTGTTATAACTTATAATCAACCGTGTTTCAAAAGTGTCATCGACCTGCGTCAGTGAACGTTTTGGTTTATTTTTCAGTCCGAAACGAATGAGGACAGAGTTGGTCACATAATTACCTTATAGGATACACTCGGAAACAGGCCAAACATGGCAGGTCGAACAGCTTCGAAAGAATGAAGGGGGAAAGGAGACTATTAGCTTCTGGTGCTCTATGAGTGCACAACGACCATCGCGGCCTCTATGTCCGAAATGCCAACTGGCGTGGCAGCGGGTAGACGTCCTTTTTTGTTACGGTGTTTAGTCGACGATAGTCCACGCAGAACCAAAGAGTCCTGTTTTTCTTTTTCACCAGGACTACCAGTGAAGCCCACGGACTGTTTGAGGGCTGGATGACGCCGTCATCAAGCATTTCTCGAACCTGCTTCTAAACGACTTTTCTCTCTTTCACAGAGACACGGTACGGCGACTGATGAACAGGAAGCGCGTTGTCTTAATTCAGTGACAATTCGGTGTTTCGCAACCGTCGCTTGGCGCACCTTTGACGACGTGAAGAAGCACTCACTGAACTCGGCGAGAAGGTCACTGAGTTGTCGTCGTTGTGGGGTAGGCAGGGCTGGATCGATGTGGAACTGCGAATGTGGCATTGTCTCGTGTGGCCATGAAGAGAGGTCTTCTGCTATTCCGTCAATTGCGGCTGAGTCTGCGAGTTCCTCGGCGTGACTCACGGCGGTGCCTTTAGTAAGGTGCCGAGCCTCTTGTCGGAAGTTTGTTACAAGTGCAACAATCAGAGTGTACACTGATGTTGCCTCCTGGCCTTTTACCTTTCCTCGGAAAACACGGCGGCGCTAGCGGCTGGCGGCGCCCTTGGCACGTGTAGCACTGAGGATGATCGGCGAGTCGGGGAACCAGACAAAGATCTCTTTTTGAGGTGCCCAACGACCTCTCAGACTTGGAAAAAGAAATCGTCAAAACAACTGGGTTTAGTGTCTGTGTACCATAGTTTCGGTTATGACTCCGCTGGGCAGTGTTTCTCACGTCGCTCATAAAATTCATCTGCACCTTCTCTTCGACCTCACACCGTTTCAAAGAATTTGAGATCCCTGAAAAAGCCCTAAAAGAACTTCAAACTCAAAACTAGGTGTCGCCTGCTCACAGCGATAGGTGCCAGGCACCGAGAAGAGCGGCTGATTGTGGGACGCAGGCGAACACGACACTTTGGGTCGGGACAGTTCGGAGGCGGGAGAGAAAATCGAGTTGCAGGACGACTCAATCTTTGACGTCACTGCACCGGCGCGGATCATACGGGAACTTCAAATTTGGCTTTGGGGAATTGTTTTTTTACTTCACAAATACTGAGTTCTCAAGTTTTGAATTTTTGAGGGTAATGTCCAAGCATCGTTTTCAATTGTTTCAGATAATAAAAAAAATTATTTTGACTTATTGAATCCCAATGCATCAATTTGATGGACAACAAGTGCTGATGAATAATACGGTGCATGTGCATAGGAAACTGATCCCTTACCGTTTCAGGGTCTATTAAACCATGTTTGGAATTAAGCATATTTCTTGCGCCATCAGTCTTGGAGTGTGAGGGCCATGTTGTTAGGGAACTAGGTCAGGGGCCTCGCAGGCTGCCAGTTGTCGACCTTGTCTCTACGGTCAAAGGGCCTTCCTAAAGGAAGTGTCGTTTGTCCTTGACATTTAATATATATTTTCTCGTCTGTTGTTTTTTTTTTTTTTTGGCGCTCGATCGTTTAATACGACACGAGCCAATATTTCAGTTTATAATTTTCACATCGCCCGCCAGACATGGTTCTTTCTTCTGCCTCGGTCACTCATCGCTCATTCGAAAGAGATACAGCGATTTCGAGATATGTCTACTGATGAACCGTCATACGGGACGCGCATATTTATGCCGATCTCGATGCGCTGAGGAAGCACAGAACTCGATACTGTACGTCGAGACTACGCACGCCAAGAATACACCCCATGTGGTTTGGCTTTTGTGGTACCAGGCCATGTGCAAAATTCCTGCCAGTTATCATCATCGTGCAGAGACTGGAGGGCTTTTGTCATTGTCTGTCTGTAGATGCACCTGCAATCAACTCGGTTTTCATATCCTTTGTACATTCAGCGGGTCGCTATTGATTTTTGCTGCAACGAAAAAAAGGGAGATGGCTGCGAGATTCAATAAAAAGAAGTGTCAGCAACGAGGTCGCAACACTCGTCACTGCACCAATGAACTGGGCCGTCCGGGTTAAGTGGGGAGACTTCATCAAAGGCGCCGTGTCAAGACTTCGGGCTGGACTGCCACCAACATGATCGTATTTTAGATCTACCACTCCCCCATTGCTAGGACCAATGTCACTTCGGCAAAACTATTGGTGCAGGACCTTCCAGTACTGAGGAAACTTGACTCGATAATTCATTATAATTACACTAGATGGAGCTTTTCTGCGTCCATTGTTGGCTTCACGTCAATCGCATGTCCTAAAACTAATTTTGCCTAAATAACCACCTTTTTTTTAAAAACTTTACTCATATATTAGGTTTAAATTTTACTTGCATACTAATAATATATTTTACTCGTATCAAACCATTACGTGAGATATTTATTTACAAGATATTTTTCACTTTTCTAAGTCTTTTTTTTTTTTAATTTTTGCGTGATGTTTTGATTTTGATGAAATACAGTCTAAGCTAGTTATAACAAACTTTGATTTTGACCAAGATTTCGGTCTTATGTAAGAAAAGTATGTTGTATGCAGATATGAAGTTGAGTCAATGGCATGCAGAGGAAAACCAACCGAACTTCGCAAATGTTTTATCCAAATGTCTGTTGTAACCAGGTCTGTTGTAATGAGCTTTGACTGTAAAACAAGTTCCTGAGTTCTTTAGCTGGACTGAAGAAGGACCGCCCAGGTTACGAAATATATTCATGTATTCTATTTATTCCTACCACAGGCCCTTGCAGGTGAGGGGTCCAGATCCAAGATGCATAAAACACAACAAAACACATTTCAACCATCGTCAGAGAGATTAGCGGTACATCATACAATGACTGTCAGAATAAACAATCTAGCTATGGGGCTCTCCCCGTGCACGAAGACGTAAGCAAATAAATAAAAAATCTACTTAGAAACCCCGCAAAATAATGTTTTGGCTGAGAGTGTGTGCACCATGCCATGCCTAGCAACCGCGGAGCTATCGGGTTTCCAAACTGACGCTTCTAGCGCTTCTCCTCGTGCTTGCGCAAGCGCAATGCGCCTTGCAGCAGTCATTGACGTGTCCATGATAAATGTTTCTGGCTTTGTTTTTCGACGCATATCAAAAAAACTTTGCAAGAATGTTTATTATTGATCGGATGTGATACTTGGCGCATAGGAAGGCCGGACACGCATCAAGAACACGTTAATCGGAGAAAGAAAGTTAAGTTTTGAAAGTGCATTTTTTGTGGAAAATCAATAATTCGAGGCTGTGTTAAAGAAATGCCAATGTTTTAAAGGGGACTTCCAAGCTGTGACATTTAGTGCAAGGTAAATCCAAAACAAAGCATATACTCACGGGCCCTTCAAAGTGCAACGATGCGAAAGCATGAACAATTTGGAAAGTCTCCGAGTGCAACTTCATTTAGTCCCAAAAACACATCTCGTCTTTATATATTTATCTCCATTATCAAAGTCACGAAATCAACGATGCGTTCAACGGGGTTATTCAAATCTAAATCTAGAAACAAAAAGGCACCAACCACGATATCCTATCAGTGACCCTAACGAGTCTTTTAGAACTCTTTTCTGTAGAAGTTAAAAGTGATGCAATCGCACAACGGCGGCCGCTGACTGAAAATATCAGCCAGCTCGTTAAGAGAACATAGAAAACGAAGAGAGAACAATTACGAGGAATAAGGGCAAAAAAAGAGCAAGGTTAGCTCCTGAGACCACAAAAGTATGTGCTCAGTCACCGGAACAGGGCTTGCCATGAGGGTAGTAGCAGACGGGAGAGCACACGGCCAGTCCTACTCACTTGCTGTGGTAAGTGACCGAAGTGTACACCTCCGTGACAAGCTCTGGGCAGCTCGATTTTCCAAACAGCACCTGGAACCGCAATTCGAATGGATCACAAAACCAAAGCTTCAACTGAAAGTACCGTATTTACCCGCAGAATGAACACACTTTTTTTTCCGAAAAATCGATGCAAAGTTGGGGGGGGCGTTCATTACGCGAAGTAACATTTTTGCGTCCGTATTTACTCGCTTACAGAATGGACCTTTTATCCTGAAAAATCGAAGTAACTTCTTATCTCTTTGCGTGCCGCGGCTGACCCCGTAACCAAACTAAGCTGCGCAAAAAAAAAAAAAGCTCCTATTTGTTTTCTTTTTCTCTTGGTATCGGGTTTTTTTTTTGCCGCCTTTCGCAAGCTCTTTTGTTTGCTTAGGCGTTGCTTAGGCAAGGGCTCTCCGCTTATCTTTCTTATTTCCTTGCGCGCGGCGCGCGACGCACGACCCCCTGCAACCAAACTGCGCTGTGCAAAAAAAAGCAAAAAAAAAAAGCTCCTCTTTTTCTTTTTTTCTCAATTCCGTGTTTTTTTTGTCTTTTTTTAACGCCTTTTGCAAGCTGTTTTGTTTGCTTGGAGGGCTTCTCCGCTACTCTTTCTTACCTCCTTGCGCGTGGCGCGCGACCCCCCGTAACCAAACTGCGCTGTGCAAAAAGAAAAAAAAAAAAAACTCCGCTTTGTTTTTGTTTTCTCTTAGTTCCGTTTTTTTTTTTTCGTTTTGCCACTTTTTGCAAGCTGTTTCGTTCCCTTAGAGCGCTTCTCCGCTTCTCTTTCTTACCTCCTTGCGCGCGGCGGCGCGCGAACCCCAAGTCCAGACTGTGCTGTGCAAAAAAAAAAGCTCCTCTCCATGTTTTTTTTCTTGCTTCCGTTGGATCTTTACGAATTTTTTTAACGCCTTTTGCAAGGCGTTTTGTTCGCCCACGGTGCCCATGCGTTTGCGACCTTGCTGCACCAGGACAGAAGAGTGCGTTCATTTCGCGCGTGTGGGGGAGGGGGTCAAAATTTTGACGTCCGAGTTGGGGGTGCGTTTATTACGCGAGTGAAAAAAAAAGTCGAAACTTTGAAAGCCGACTTGGGGGTGCGTTCATTACGCGAGTGCGTTTATTGTGCGAGTAAATACGGTAACAAGCCAGGTGAGCTGATGCAGGTTCATGATTTGGAGATGAAAAGATAAAAGTCTCATACGTGTTCTAATGTCCTTTTTTGAGATGCGAAATAAAACTCTCGGAAAATTTGAAAGCTTTAGGGGATGAGAATGTTTCAATTGTCTGGAGAGGTCAGCCTTTAGAATTGGCGAAATTTAACCATCGCGAATATGACCCCGTTGTCCGCAAAAAATGAAGGGTTTTATGGTAAGCTCGGTCCATTTCCCAGCACTGGTGCAGAAAAGTGTAGGCCGTGTCTCAATACACACACCGGAAGTACACTGCCATAGACGTTTCTGGACCGGTGCAACAGGTCCAGGTAAATAAGTAGCCTTTTTTAGAGAACGAACAAACTGCAACCACCCGCAACGGACATTTTGTTAGCTTCTCTCACTTGGATCCAAGTTCATAAATAAACTACCGTAACGTCTCGAGAGATGCCCCATCCCTGAAAGATAACCCGCCCCCTAATTTTTGGCCCGATTTGCTATTTTTTCAAGAACATCGATAGCCAACTTGTAGTAATTGCAGGACCCTGGCCACCTCGGCAGAAAAGGTGGTACTTAGCCAAGACGGGAGATAAACAAACACTGCCAACTGGGAAGGACAGTCATCTTTGGCTCGTTGCCTCTCCCTGCAATCGCAAGTTTTGCAGGTCACACACACACCGAAAGTTAGCCCTCTCCTTAGTTTCACCAGACTGGCTTTCCATTTTAAGTGAGCTATCCTCAAGACATTACAGTGTGCCTGTTTATTGATGGTTGACTGATCTTTATCAATCTTCCTACATGTTTTTTTGGGCCTAAACCAAGAGAGGTGCTTTGCCTCAACCCCCCAAAAAAAATTTAAAAAGTGGAGTTTTTCTTAATTTTTATTTGTTCTGGCGTGCATGGGATAGTAATGCTGACAGCGATCAATAGCAATAGGGTGTTAGGATAGCTTTTCAAGTTAGGTTGCTCTGTTTAGCTTAGACTTACGACACTTGAATTAGTGGGGCCACGCAACAAGCTTCGTTCAAACGCACAGCCGCTTTCCGGAGTAGTTTGTGGCAACCTGAACCAATAGGTTTTGCTTTGTTACGTTACCCCCAGTTAGGTAAAACGTAACAGATCCGACTAGTCTTTGACGGACTGGCGCATGTGAACTTACCACGCAGGGCAGTTAAGCGGCTGGTTTGGAGGGAGATAAAGGGGGCTTACTGGGGGCATTTTGTCCGTTATATATAGGCTAGATGAAGCGGAGGTGGTAGATTTAAATAGCGGTAGAGAAAGGTCAGGGGGTTAGGAAGCGTAGATCGCGGGCAGTGAGCACGAGGTAGAATTCCTGCACCATGTGGCTTTATTTGAGTGTGTTTCCGGAGTAGGGTTATCGAGGAGGCTCTGTGGGTGCAAGGCTCTCCGCAAGGCTAGTGCAATCTGGAAAATTTAGCGCAAGAAAGATGGTGGGAGGGAACTAAGGCTAGGTTAACCCCGACGTGTTTTTCTCCAAGTGGGCAGGCTCCTAAGGCCTAAAAGTAGGATAGAGGATGCTGGAAGGCCCGCGCCAAGGGGGTCAGCCGTCATCGAAGGGGACGAAGGTTATACAAATTCTGGGTATACTAAAAGACTTTTCATCACTCATTTCCTTACCCAGTTGATTTTAACTTGAAAAGAAAACAACCCTCGTACACTTCATCCCCCCCTGTGCTGCATCGAGTACTAGCAAAATGGACAATTGGGCGAGTTGGTAAGAGTTCATCATAACTTACAGCGTGACTGGGAGAAGGACAGACAGAAGAGAAAACACAAGACAAGCGCTGAACTATACTCGGCGACAACTTTTCTTGGCAATGCAGTGTAGGTTGCGGACACGTGATCCCTGTCCCATTTTGAGCACTGGATAAGGCTATGCGCGGATTCTCGTCAACTTCCACTGCATTGCCAAGAAAAGTTGTCGCCGAGTATAGCAACTGATTCTTTTCCTTTTCACCAATACAACAGTGATGTTCCGACACAAGCACAAACTACCCCGAGAAATGATGGAGACGTACCACATAACACAAAACAGACCCTTGTGTGTGAGCCAGCCTACAGTGACTTTGACGAGCAGTGAGATCGGCTTCTTAGATCTTGGATAACTTGGCCACTTTCGTGTTGAGTTAAAGAAGAAGCGCCAGGGCCACGGAGGGCATGCCTGCACTAGCAGCAGCAGCATCATGTGCATTTATTTCTTTTCAATCGAATCAGTTGCTAGTTCAGCACTTGTTTTGTGTTTTCTCTTCTGTCTGTCCTTGTCCCAGTCGCGCTGTAAGTTATGATGAGCACCGAGTACTATTGACATGCAATGAGTCCAGCTTATAAACACACTCTGGGCAGTCAAATTGCACCAAAGCGCTATCTTCATGTGCCTGCACCGAGGGGCACCAGAGTGCGGGCAATTTTGAGGAAATAACGCGAAGAACAATTTAGTGGCACAATGGCTGAGACGCCAAGAATCTCCGAGTGCCCTATGGCCCCTAGGCTGCTGGGCTTAACCCTAAGACTTGGGCTTCACCCCGAGGCAGCAATAGGTCCTAGAGCTTATCTGCTAGCCTAGGCGATGGCAGAGGAGGGAAAGGAGAGACTGACGGGGAGAGCGCAGGTGGCCTCCTCCCCGCACATGAACTGGATGCGGCAGGCGATGTTCCTGGCCGAGCCCGGCCTGCCCGCAAAGTTCAGGGCCCGGGGGTAGACGTACAGGAGGTTGCGGTACACATAGTCCGGCCTGAGCACCTCCCGCGGCGGGAACTCCAGCGCCTCTTTGGTGGGGCGCCCTTTCTCGTCCGGGTACGGGACCAGGCGCGCCAGTTCGGGGCTCAGGCAGTAGCGCACCTCCTCGGGGCACGGCGAGATGTCCAGGCGCAGGCTCCCTGGTGGAGAGTGCAACAACGTCTCCACCCTGTCCAACACACTCCCAGGTGCATGCTACCAATCAGCCAAGCACGCGCTGTATGTATGTGCGTGATGTCACGAAGTCCGCGACGTTAGGACATGACGTGATGTGATGGTCATGTGGCCTCGTGATGTCATGGTGTCGCGTGACGTCACAATTTTTCTACTAAATTTAATGGGAAATGTAAATGATGACCCCTAGGGCCATATTGCCACACGCACTGCCGAGCAAGCGCATGTGTGGCCGAGTGGTTAGCCTGCTTTGCTGTCGTGCGAAGGAACTGGGTTTGATTCCAGGGAGCAGAATCTTCTGTTATTTATTCTCTCTACTTGGCGTTCTCGTATGTTCGAGAACCATCTCGTCCGATCCAGTTACAAATGTTCTACAGCCGAACGTTGTAGACCGAATGTTCTAGAGACACACGTGAGTACAAAAGGTGCTCCGTGAGGCGAGCCGGAGTCAGTCTCGCTCCAGTGCTCGATCCTGCGGTTTCGCTGACATTGACGTCTGCGACGCTCTGCTGATTTCTTCTGTTCCCTTTTTGTTTTGGGCACAAGTTCACCCCATTAAACGTTTAGTTTCTTCAGTTATCACCGCCTCATCAATTGTCATTCGTGACAATATTGCTTATACAGTACAGCTCACTAATGACTAGGATTCCGTGTTTCTGGAGTTTATTTTTCCTTAAATTCCTAGGGTATTTTTCGGAGTTAATTTTTCACTAAAAATTCGGGGTCTATTGAATTTAATTTTTAAAATGAAGCTGTTAAGGGCTAGGTTCCCCAGAATTGTATCCGGTACCAAAGAAATGTCGCCACAAAACTCTGGACAGCTACCGCCATCTGCAACGGCGGCAACCAGACAACTGGTTGCTGCCGTCACTCATAGATGGCGGCAACCTTTCTTCGGAGGAAGAAGAGCGGTTCGGAACGAGTGGCGATGTGCGCAGCAGTGCGAATGGTTTTGCAATTGCCACAAGGCCGCTATTGCCTAGAGTTCCACTGCGTTGAGCGCTTCGGATTCCCTTGCCAAAGAAGAGCACATCGCTCGCCTGGAAAGCCACCGCCGAGAACAGAAGCTACTGCTCCACTGCTCTTCCTTCTTCACCAGAGTGGAAAGGCTGAAAGCTTTTTAGGGGCGAAGCTCCTTAGGACCTAGCCTTGTCTGGCGTCTGTGCTCACATTGATTTGCATCCCATCTGTCCTGTTAAAAGAAGAAAAAATGTTCGCGCAGTCGACAAGATTCGAACCTGTGCGGGGAGACTCCAATGGATTTCTAGTCCCTCACCTTAACTACTCGGCCACGACTGCGGGACGAGTAGGGGGCTCTGAGATGTGGTAGTAACTCAAGAGCTGGGGTTTCTGTCATGCAGAAAACATTGCACGTAGCCGTTCAGCATCTATATAGGAGAGGGCGCTGCGGTCAAATGCATACCGTATTTACTCGCACAATGAACGCACTCGCGTAATAAACGCACCCCCAAGTCGGCTGTCAAAATTTCGACTTTTTTTTTTCACTCGCGTAATAAACGCACCCCCAACTCGGACATCAAAATTTTGACCCCCTCCCCCCACGCGCGCGAAATGAACGCACTTTTCTATCCTGGTGCAGCGAGGTCATGAATGCATGGGCAGCGTGGCGAACAAAACGCTTTGCAAAAGACGTTAGAAAATTTCGCAAAGATCCAACGGAAGCAAGAAAAAAAAACATGGAGAGGAGCTTTTTTTTTTTGCACAGCGCAGTCTGGACTTTGGGTTCGCGCGCCGCCGCGCGCAAGGAGGTAAGAAAGAGAAGTGGAGAAGCGCTCTAAGCGAACGAAACAGCTTGCGAAAGGCGGCAAACAGACAAAAAAACACGGAACTAAGAGAAAACAAAAACAAAGAGGAGCTTTTTTTCGTCTTCTTTTTTTTTGCACAGCGCAGTTTGGTTACGGGGGGTCGCGCGCCACGCGCAAGGAGGTAAGAAAGAGGAGCGGAGAAGCCCTCTAAGCAAACAAAACAGCTTGCGAAAGGCGGCAAAAAGAAAAAAAAAAAAAGAACAACCCACGGAACTGAGAAAAAAACAAAAAAAAAAAATGAGCTTTTTTTTTTGCTTTTTTTTTTTTTTTTTTTTGCACAGCGCAGTTTATTTACAGGGGGTCGTGCGTCGCACGCCGCGCACAAGGAGATAAAAAAGATTAGCGGGGAGCCCTCGCCTAAGCAAACAAAACAGCTTGCAAAAGGTGGCAAAAAAAAAAAAAAACAAGGAACTAAGAGAACAGAAAACAAAGGAGTTTTTTTTTTTTTTTTTTGCACAACTTAGTTTGGTTACAGGGTCGGGCGCCGGCGCCGCGCGCTAGGAGATAAGAAGTTACTTCGATTTTTCAGGATAAAAGGTCCGTTCATTATGCGAGTACATACGGACGCAAAAAATTTTCTTCGCGTAATGAATGCCCCCCCCCCCCAACTTTGCATCGGTTTTTCGGAAAAAAAAAGTGCGTTCATTCTGCGGTCAAATGCATATATAATCGCGATAAACTTTGCATGCATTGGCTCAGCGTTTATAGACGAGAGGGCGCTGTGGTCAAATGCTCAACTGAATATGTAATTACGATCCATACCACACATTCTCTTTCTGACATGGATGAAAACAAACTAAAGGCTCGGCATGCTTCGGCTCAGCGTTTATGCAGACAAGCACCACCAGAGCTTCGCTCCAGTCAACATCATTCTCCACGTAGAGATGCGGTCTTTTTTTTTTTTTTGCTATTTCTCAATTTTCGTGAATGTAACATCCTTCTCTTTCTTTTTTATGCTATTTCTCAGTTCTGAAAGAAGAGAAACAAAGGCTACCTCTTTCTTGTCCTCTGTGCGAGTATTAAAAAAACAGCTGTGATTTAGCGCTTGTTCCGTCAGTGTGTACTTGACCTTTGTGCTATTTATTTGTGATATGCATATCCAACTAGTCCACCTTAACATTTTAGTAGTTCGGAGCTACCGTATTTATTCGAATATAAGGACCCAAGAAAAAGAAAAAAAAATTGTCATATTGCTATACTGAGCTTCGAATATAAGGCGGGGTATGACTTTGAGGCTACGGATTTTGGAAAAAAAACCTCGCCTTATATTCAAATAAGTATGGTAGTTAAGAAATTTGCGCACCTGTTAGACGGACGCTCGATACTGTGAAGGGATTCGCTCACAAGGTAAAGACGTGTCAGCAAGACCAGCCAGTGTCTGCCAAGTTGCAATGACTTCCTTTCGCTGTTAGAGACAAGGTCTTGGAAGATGTCATGATAATACGGCTCCATGCCATAATGAGAAGAAGTAGACCGCAAAAGACAGCTGGAGGGTAGAAGAAAAAGAAGAGAGGATGGCCAGCGAAACCTGAGGTTTGGTCGGAGGAGGAGCTCCACAAAGTGGTCTATGGCTATGGTGCAGGACTTGCCCAACTCTCGCTACGCCCAAGCTGCAACGGCAACTCTTTACTGCCCACGATTCCAAGTGACTACAGTGAGCTGCACCTCTTTGCGGTTCGTCCACGCAACAAACTATCAGGGGCACTCGATGTGAGGGACTGAGGGACACCTCTTTGCTCGTCATTGAACTACCTAGTTAAACCTATTTCTTTTTGTGTTTTTTTTGTCGTAGTTACTTTCCTGACTTGAGCTTTGTTTGTATCTTGTAGGGATTCGCGTACCGTCGCCGCTTCGCCGTTTCCCACGTGGTTCGTCAACAACCTGAGTCCAGCCTGGTTCTTTCACGGGAGCGGGATTCCACTCCTAGTTTATTGGTACAATAAAACACAACGCTACAAAACACTCAATCTAAACTACAAATACGAGCGACATTACACAAATATTTACAAACGCACGTTAAGCCTAAACGCTAAACACAAAGAAGGCCCCCAGGCCTCGTGTCCCGCGATTACCCTAGATCCGGTCGCCACCCACCTGCCTGCGTCTCGGTCTCGTCCGAAGTTCTAAGAGGCCTCTCGCCCCCTGGCCCATCGAGTATATACCGATCGATGGGCGAGGAGGTTTCTCCTCGCCCGCCACGGGACGCCTACAGCACCCTCCAGTGGCTAGGAGAGAAAGCGGCACAACAGGAGCCGAATTCGAGATCCCGATCGACCCCGCGGCGACACGACCATGTGATCGTGTCTGAGGCGAGGCAGCTACCTAGCTGCCTCGCCTCGCTGGCCGCGAGGCAGCTACCTAGCTGCCTCGCGGCCAAGGTTGGCAGAATGGTTTGATGGGCACCCTTGTGAATGCACGGTGCGCCATAATCTGTACTTCATAATAGAATGCAGCCATTTTCTCCGCCGCTTAACGTTCTCTTCACTCTGCTTGCGATCCGTCTCGGGCGAGCCGTGACACAAAAGCTCATATGACTGTCACAGGAGGCGATCATCGAGCGACGTATTGGAATGGGTGTCGCCAATCATCGCAGTGAAGGAATGTAAAGGTGCGACTCTACGTCAATTTGAGAGAGGTGAACGTGCTTATAGACAGTTTTCTGTTACCTCACACGGTTTCGCTAAATTCCCCCACTAAATTTAGTGGGAAAATGTCCCTGCTAAACTTGGCAGGGAAATTTAGTGAAAATTTTCCCGCTTAATTTAGCAAGCAAACTAAATTGGTGTTGAGGTCACGTGACGTCAATTTCCCCGCTAAATTTATCAGGAAAATTTCTCATAATGCGATGCGAACGGTTCTGTTGACGCCGATGGTGACGCCACTAAACCCGGAACCGGGCACCTAAGAGCTGCGCTCTAAAAAAATGTAAGGCAAATGCAATATGTTGCTAATTCTGACATTACAAAAGAATTGTGACCCAGGAAACTCACCAGGCATAAATCAAAGCGCATTTATTAACGCAGGGCAGGAGACACTGGATTTGATGATGAGATTATGTCATGACACAGATCATAGTTATATAAACTATGAATATAGTGATGCTGGTGATGACAATGCGCAACAAGTGCTATGGCTAGAGAACCCACATTTCGATGCAAATTTTATCATTCTTTTTTATATCTTCTCTTTGCTTGCAAAGCTGCCTATCTTTTTCTTTTTTTACGCGCCCTTATTTTCGCGTTTGTAGCGGTGGGCCGCGGCCATTTGCGGGCCGGACAAAGCGCCTCCGCGAGCCGGGGTTTTGAGATTCCTGCTCTAGGTAAAGTCTTATCACATGAAACGGACAAATAACCAATAAACTATTCAGGGTTTTCACTAATGTATAGACCTTTGAACGAGTAGTACGATCAAGGATTTACATCATTTGATGCGAAAAAAGGCAACAATTTGTAACCAAGCAGGTCCGACCGATCGTGCTAATGAAATAGGAACCATGTGCAAGCACATTCCTATAAAACAGTGTCACGTGTCTGAACATGAGCATGCAGAAAAAAAAACTCCTTGCACTTGCTAATTCTCACTATAGTGTGCTTCAAAATGCAATTAAAACTGTTAAAACTGCACCGTGTTAGGAATGTCGGTAAAATTAGTGTAATACCTGCGAGACAATGCCGGAGACCTGGACTGGATTTTGATGGCAAAAGCCAACTGAATTCCCACAGTTGCCAGATGAAAACTCTTCCAAAAGCCAATTCGCTTGCATATTTGTTTGCTTTGGTGCACTTTGGCTCAATTTTTCCCTTTGGGCGCAGCATAGCGCAGGGAAGCGGGAATTTAACAAAATGGTGCAAATGGCTCAACTGGACCACCCCAGACAATGGCAGAATTGGAGGGAAGTCAAACTCGAAAATGTTCGACTGTTGCGATACAAGCAATTGGAAATATTCGATTGCACGGTAGGAGTGCTACTGCATCGTATCAGGACTGTGCAACGCAGAAACACGGCCGAGCACCTTTCTCCACACAATCCTCTTTCATCTCGCACGAATACAATACCTCTGAAAGGGCGATTCTATCGTCGCAAGCAAGTGGCCAACGAGGCAGCTGAAGCGTTCTATACTCCCTTCGATCCGGAAACGTGTACATCACCGAACCTAACATTTATTTCTATTCTCCAAGTTTTTGACAATAGAGAATGGTCAGCTTTCCATTTTGTGCCGTGTTTCGTTGTTGCTAGAGCTGGCACCAGCGGTGACTGGGACCAATTCCAGCTGGGATTAACTCCAATGGGGCCCGGTTGCAACTGGGGCCCACTTGAACTGAGACCAGCTGCAACTGGGAATTGACCCATAGACCAGTTGGACTGAGACCAGTTGGATCCCAGTTGAAAATGTTCACTGGGATGCATGACCCAACAATGCTTTATGTTTCAACTAGGAAAGCACTTCCCTCCGAGAAGGGCAATCGTGGAAACCTGGGTGTTCAAGGACTGCTCGAGCAAACCCTCGGGGGGTACAGCCAGCTCCGAGGGGCACATTAAAGCAGGGCCCACCTGGAATGCTCTTGAGCCTCTTGAGGACGGAGCCCGGACGCTTCAGGTCCGCCAGAAATTTGTACAGGTCGTCGTCCCTGAGCTTGTCGCTTTCCTGCAAGACACGGGCAACAGGGTCGTCGCCCTCATTCACTTCCACGTAGAGAGACAAAGGAGTGAAATTAATGACGTAAAAAATAGAAAATCTAGAACATGTAGAAAAAAGGAAGCGGAGCAGTGAAGCCTCCCTACAGTCCAGAACTTTTACAACACCAGTCATTTTAGTGTTGTAGGTTTTGAAACATTGACCCCCTCATATTTAGGGATTTTCTTTTATCGTTACATAAACCCTACCAGACAGACCTCTAACAAAGATGCATATTTTGTAGCATTAGCTACACTGGCCGAGGTTGAGCAGTTTCGCGTGGCTCCCATAATGAGCCGTGCTCATTATGCGGAGCGCGCGGCGGTGGAGCTTCGCATAATGAGCATGTATAATTAGCACGGCTCGCATAATGAGCAAGGCTCATTATGAGCCACGCAAAGCCACCGTCGCGCGCTCCGCCACCGCCGCGCCCGCCTCGCCCACCTCGCCCCGCCTCACCAGTCTGCACATTCCAGAGGAGTGACGTCATAGCCGCGGCAGACACACTGGCGCTGTGCGCCTCCGTTGCGCAGTAGCCAAGTCTGACGCTGCACCGGAGCCGCTTGAAAGCGCCTCTCATGTTGTGCGCATAAGCTCACGCTATATCCTGGCATAGCCGAGCTAAGCCACCGCAATTTTTTTTTAAGTAACTATAGTGCACTTTTGCCATAAAAGGATACTGGTGGGGTATTAATGCTCGCCGAAATTCCTACACATGTGTTGCTATTTCAGAATTGGCCGCTTTGATTTTTGCGTTCCTTTCATTCTCAGTTAGTCTATCATTCAAACACCTGGAAGCTTGCCCCCCAAACCCGCTAAAGGTACCTCATACACGAGTTCATCCTCACAAAGTACCGACTTCTCTGTCTGGGCTTTCTGGCACCCCTTGTAAAAAAGCAACCTGTAAACACAAACTGGTAGTGGCCTTTTTTTTAAGAAAATAATTGAAACTGCCCTTGACTAGCCAGCAAGTCACATATCAGCTGAAAATTATCATGCAAGGAAATTGATTGTTCCACATGTTCAGTACATAAGCGCTCCCTTCTCGCAGTGACAACCGCTCTTGAAGTACAAAATACCCTCGCTCCTGCAGCAGAAAATATTGCCGCGGGCGCAGCTGGCCAAGTAGGCAGCGCGCCCGTGGCCTAGCGGTGATCGTGCCCGACTCCCACGCAAAGAGCCGAGGTTCTATTCCTGGCTGCGGATGCACCTTTTGCTGTTTCTGTAAACGTCCGATTCTGGCAAATTGGAGAACCCTGTTGCTTATTTGAGGTTAGAACGTTCTATGCGCCGAACCTTCTACGCCGATTGTTCTAGAAGCCCACGCGTGTACATAAGGGGCTTCGTGTGACGAGCAAAAGTCAGTTTCACCCCAGCACTCGATCCTGCTCTTTCACCAACATTGACGCCTGCAACCTTAACCTTCTTCTCTATTGTTTTGGGCACAAGTTCGCCCCATTAAACGTTCCGTTTCTTCAGTTGTTCGCCGCCTCATCACTTGTCATTCGTGACAATATAAGATTGCTAAAAAAGTGACTCACAATGCAGGCTTGGCAAAACAAAAACAATAACTGCTCCTTTGTCGTGAGCTAATACATAGGTAGTGCTAGTTATAACTAGGGTGTGTATTTTCCGGTTTTAACCGAAAAACACAGATAAACATCCGTCGGTGACGAAAATACGAAATCGGTTAAAATCGAAAAACACCGGTGGTTGGATATTTTCGCCCTGATTAAAACCGAAAAACACCGGTCGTTGCAAGTTTCCGACCTAGCGTCGAGCGAAACCCTTTCCCCGTAAAGGTTCGTCAAACGTGTTATCTCGTGGATCCTGCATTCTTCCAGTGTCTATACATGGCTTGCAGGTGGCGTCAGTCCGCCCTCCTTTCTGGGGGTCAAAAGCGTCTAGCTAACGCAGTCGAAGCTAAGCTCTCACACGCCTTTCCCCCATTGTGTCTCCCATGGCCCCCTTTTGTGGAAAAATTAACGCAGTGGAGGGTACGCTCTCACGTGCCCTTTCCCCATTGTGTCTCGCCAAGTAATGTCGGTGCAAGCCATGTATTCAGAGGTTGCTCTGGTTCCTGGAAGACACTGCCAACATCCGTGTCGTAGGGGGCTACTAACCTTTCAGAACTGAGATGCGTTCCTTGTTATCTGTTTAGTTTCCATGGGCTTTTGGGGAAACGGAAAAAAGGTTTTGTTGGCGTGGGGGTTTTTCGCTGTATATAGAAGGACCGTTCTGTAAAAAAAAAATTGCAGACGTGTTTGAGAAGGCGCGTCCGTCCCGCGTCTGCGGGTTTTGTCAACGTGAGACTTGCTTCCCTTCGTTGTCACGCGGAGTAGAAGGCCACCAGGATCGGAAGTAAGCGGAAAGCTCAGGATGACTACGCTACAGATTTCATGGATGAATCGTCGTTCTGGTTCCGCGTGTCAATTGTTAATCCGTGCATAAACGTGGAGCTACCAGAGGGATTTGTGCCTTATGAAACTATCTATCGGCTGGTCCTCCGAGACGAGAGCTAGCTGAGTGACCTAGAATCAGAGTTTCTTTGTGACCGCCAGTATGCTGTGACTAGCACCGTTGATCCAGTGTTATTTTGGAAACTTCATTTACCTGACTGGTAACTACTGCCCCAAGCCTCGCTGGACATTTTGGGATTTCCTGTGTCCAGCGCAAATGTGGAGCGTGCGTTTTCAAAATTGCGGGTTGTGAACCGCAACGAATGTGCTGCCATGACGGATGCAAGCCTCTCGAAGTATGCTTGCATCTACTATAATAACCAAGTGTGAGAAATAGATGATTCGTCGAGAAGAAGTGTATGAAATATGTGAATAAAATTGGAGCTCTCTGTCTGTTATCAATCGCATTTTTTTCCACCGATAATCACCGATTTTAGCCTCGTCGTGAGACGTTCCACCGCAATACACCGGTGTTTCGAAAATAAATAAACACCGAAAAACATCCGCCGATTTTTCTCACAAATAAACTTTCAGTTGCTAGTCAATGCCATGTCTGTCCTTACCTCTTCTTCTCGTCCCTCGTTTATTTTTGCGCTGCTCCCCTTTCCTTATAAATGTTACCAGTTGACCGTTTCCTGCGGGGAGCTAGTGCACTTGTGGCAAAACCAACTGTTTTAGGTAATGCCGAAAGCCCTAGCACTGTCCGGTCAAAAGAGAACATTGTGTCTTTGTGGACATCTCATTGGCACGAGGAATTTGAGGAGCCTATGTGAACTGCCGCTTTTGTTCAACAATCTTCAGAATGCTCCTTTCTCTCGCATTATGAACCCCGAGCAGAGGGTCTTTCAACCCTTTCCAAAGCCTGTTGGAAGCTGTGGGATCCCCAGCCAATGGGGCAGACAGACTGCGCCTCCACCGCCCTCGGGCGCGCAAGGCAAAACTCTAAGCTACCCGTTCGTCGCCACGTTTGGCGGTGTCGTTTGGCGAGAGGAACGGTAGCAAAATGTAAAGACCTTGGCAAGTCACCCCTTGGCACAGTGGTCGAGCGTCGGGCTCACAATCTCGGGGTCGTTCGCTCCATTACAATTCTTTTTTCTCAATTTACTAGGGGTGTGCGAATATTTGAAACGTCAAATACTTAAAAAATAATGTTTGCTATTCGATACGATTTGTTTTGCACTTTTCGCTGTTTGAAGTATTCGAGTTCTTCGAATATTTTGAAAACTATAAATAACGCGGAACTCGCTAATTAGTGTCGACTCGCGGTCGAGTTCCCCATTTTGTTTTTGGGCTGAGCAGTATGGTTTCGAGCATCGCAAACACAAAAACCAACCTAAGTGCCTTTTTTTTATATGAAGGGCTGGAAAGTTATTTGTACATGGTAGCACAATCTGTTCTTTGCTGGCCATGATGTCGGGATTGCGGAGTTGGCGGAGTTGCGGAGTGGTCGTGGCACAAACGCAGCGATAGATTTGATGATGCACTACGATTTGCAATGACACGTCCATCATCGTGAGCCCAAACGCGACAAAACCACACTCGCTGCAGTCCTTCTTACAGCCACTACAGTAGCCGAGGTGCCATGGATTCGGATATGGATTTATGGCTGACCTCGGCTATCGGCGATATCTGGCTCGTGTTATTTTCCGCTCGATTTTCTCGTTCATTAGTTTGCCAGTATTCCTTTTGTTATTTATTTCCACCCGTTTTCACTGGTAGAAGTGAGACTTGCTCCCTCTGCCAAATAAAAAAAAACATTCTTTTTTGGCTGCTTCTTCGTAGCGCCCTCTGTCAACAGAACTATTGCACACGGAAAGAGATGGTGTGAAGTCAGTGCAGCTGCGCGATCGCACTATCTCCAACTCTGCTGTGGCTTGCCGACCCACCTTCACTTGCATACTTTCATTTACGTTCTGTAGCTTCACTCCTTGAATGGTGTTTTACTGACTGATCTTTTATTTCATCTGTTTTGTATCAGTCACATGTGTCACATTTGTCTTAATGCAATAAAACTAACATTTTCATAAATGTTTGTTGTAAAAAGAAAATTTCCAGTTGTGTTCCGGTTGGGCATTCTGGTTTAATTCACATCAAATAGAAAATATTTGTTTTCAAGGATGTTCTCATTTAAAACTACTATATTCAGTACCCCTGATTAAAGGATTGGTCGGTCGTCATATTTAAAGAATTATTTCCCCCAACCAGCCAGACTTCTGTCTAATTCTTACTTTCAAGAAACTACTATTCATGTTCGAAAATATTCGATTCGATTTGATTCGTAACCTTTATTATTTGATTCAATTCACTTCGAAAGATTGCGATACTCGCACACCTCTACAATTCATTTACTTATGACTCTCCCACGCATTCCTTTTGGATTAGAAATTTTAATTTTCCAAGGAAGCTGGCAGCTTCCTTGGAAAAAAGAAGTGCGTGTCTCATAGCGAGCATTGGGCAAAGGCCCAGAGCTTGCTCGTTCGGTGCAGCTGGCAGCAACACGCATCCCTGGTGCCACTCTGCGTTTCATCGCCCGATGCAATCCGCGAGACTAACACGGATCTACTCGAGCGAGACGTTTGGGACGAGCACCACGTCTGCGTTCGGCTGGCACTCGCAATACCTCGTCCCGTCGCTGGAAAAGTAAAATTTGGTAGTTGTACGTGCCAGACCAACGAAAGTCATCTGGCACGCCCCGGCGGAAAAAAGAGTATTAATTTTGACCGCCCACCGATCTTTTGACGTGCAACCGAAAGCTCGGTTACGCGTTCCCGCAACGAGCCCCCCTCGGATGGGGGGCACCTCAGCCGGGATTTGAACCCGCCGCCCGGAGATCCGTAGGCCGGCACTTTGTCCTCCGAGCCACCGAGGCCCGTTCCGTCGCCGGCACGACAACCAAAGACCGCTAGGAGTCAGCCCCGCGCATCGAGATTTGGATAGGCGACTGACTACGAGGGAAGAGCGAGGAATCGTGCGATACCTGCTTGAAGAAGCTGGTGACGGTGAGGGTGACGGGTCGGAAGGTGTCCAGGCCATTTGCGAAGTCGTCCGGAGACCAGCTTCGCCTCTTCTCCGACCCGCTCCGACGCTCCAGGGAGCCCCTCCTCCCTGCGTGCGGGTCGAGAAACGTGAGTGCACTGACGCACTTTGCCTCTAGGGGCGGAACAAAGGGGCAGCAACGCGCAAAATGTCCCTAGTACGCGACTGCGCCGAGAAAACATGTCGGAAATTCGTGGGACAAGGAACCTTTTGACGGAGATTGTGACTCGTAATTTCCAAGACTCTGCGAGACTTTATGCTTGAACTTTGACTTTTCTTACTAAATTACGCCAGAAAGGACACATAGGATGGTGGAGAAGCAAAACCGGACATAAATGGATTCCGAGATATTTTTATCCACTACGGACAGAGGTGACGTAATATATATATTATTTTATTTCACCACACGATACCAGTGTGCGAAGCAAGCAAGCTCTAAATTGTATGTGCACTCGCAAATAATTTTGAGCATGCACAATGGTGAGTTCAGAGGCAGCTGCACCCAACCCGACCGAGTGAACTTACTCAAATCCTTAAAAGTATCCGCAAACCTTTACCCAAATATGCCGAGTAGTGCGCCAAGACTTCCGTACATTCCAAGCTTTTGTTCTTGTTGTTGCATGAATCCCCGATCATACGGCACTCTCGAGTGCCACTGGGCAATCCTATGCAGAGTGCAAGTTTGTTGGCTTCTTGCGCAAGGGTTGCACTTTGACTCAGAACACCGAGCCCTGATTGGCTCTTCTGATTGAAAGATAGTGGGTAGACCTCGATGTTATCTGCCTAGGGGTCTACCCACTATCCTTTCAATCGGAACCAATCGGAGCTCGGCGTTTTGTTTGGATTCAAATTCAAACCTTTATTTTCCAGATATCCCCTGGGGAAGCCCCGAACAAAAAGCTGCTAACCAGCAGCTTGTTGGGCTCTGGGGTTGCGGGGAATGGGGTTCCCCAGCTCGAGAAGCAGACGAACTTGCGTTCGACATAGACCTTTTCATCTCAGCAGTTGTCTGACCGAGTATAGAGGGTGCTGGTGCACCCACCGCCATTGGGTTGCTTCAATTTGGTTAGTTTGGTTTCAGCATGCAAGCGGCTGTGTTGCTGTTTCACCTTGTTTTCACTTAATTTCGCGATAAAAATGTGTCCCTTGTAGCCCAGAACCAGTAAAACAGCAGTACTGAGAGACTTTGAGAACTACAAAGTGGTCTTGAGCCTGGATTGCGGGCACACTTACGAACAGCTTTGGTGAATCTGATTACATTCATCTTTAATTTCGGCTAGGTTTAGCGACAAAACAACTTTAGCATTGTCTATGGTCCCAATGACGATAGTTTGCAGAAAAATCAACGAATGAAGAGACTATAATGCATGAATGTATAGATTATATGTTTATAGAAAACATATTAACAATATGCTGAATCGCGAAGAACAGATCAACTCACAAATTTACTTCTCAATATTTAATTTTCGTCGACATCAACTTTGGGTGAAAAAAAAGCGATATTGGCTCGGGCTATTTTCTTTAAGGAAATTAAGTACTCGAGAAATATTTCAGCGGTCCAACCTAGGCCGAGTAGGACATTTCTTTCGCTATCGGCCCTGCTAGGGTACTCATCAACAGCATTTGAGGATATTGGCCTTAGGAAATAAACTATATTTGTTATGCTGACATTTGCTAATGGCATCCTTAAGGTGTTACATTGGGGATAGACCCGTCAAATTAAGCCTGACATTTGGCTCCCATAAAGGTTCCCAAATCAAAAGAGTGCAAGAGAAGAGACCTCAGAAAGTTAGGATATTGTCAAATGCCAGGCGCCACTTCAGGGACCTGTGTAGAGATATCTGTTTGTTTTAAAGGATGCGCTTCATTCAGATTTCGGCGTTGCCAGCCACTGAAAGTAACTCTATTTGCCATCAACAAAACAGCGCTCAAGGGATTTTCATGCACGCGGCTTTTTTTTGCCGTCCCATGTTGCGGACGCCAGGCACTCTCAAGGTGTCTGTGACAGTTGCTTACACAAAAGTTCCGAACCTCTGCATTTAAATAAATTAATTCAACTAAACTGATCATTTTTAGCAAATCATTAAAACAATTTAAAGGCTGCAGACGTGGACTGACCACAATATAGAATTGTTTAAATTAATAATAAAAAAAAATCGAGCCAACATTTATATTGCAAAGTCAATTAAGAACGCCAGGCACATGTGGGTGTGATATTACGAAAAAACATATTGTCTGATGCTGACGTACCATGATGCCTAGCATCAGATAAAACGCATGATGAATGTTAGTTGCCTATCTTCTCCACGTGTTCCCCATACAACTAAAAGCCACCGTCTTCAATCTGTTATAAATACAAAGGACGACACTTTCAGCACATACATATACCAGTGGCTCTTTACACTGATTGTTTTAATGCGAAAGCATTGACTGTCTCATGGAGCGAGCCAACGTGATGAGTTTGCAGCGCAAAAACGGCACCTTAAATCCTTTCTCTAAGTGGAGTCAGCGATCCCAGCTATGAAACCACGCAAAAAGCCTAGACATGGCACTTGTTTTCCCGATCCCAAAGGAGCGAAGCAAAGCTGATGGCTTTTTGGCTTCAGTTCCATTGGCTGGCACGTGTCGACGAGGCTCCCATTGGCCGCTGCGCTCGTCAGTTTGAACAATCGCTCACCCAATGGTGCTGCGTGTCCGCGAGCCAGCGGCTCCATTGTTCCACGCTCAAGGTCAGCGCGCCGTATGCCGCAGACGAAAGAAGGGCACGAAGAGCGGCGTGCGTGCTTTCGCGTTCACAACTCATTAGAAGTGCTTAGGTGTGCCTCGAGCCTTTTTGTTACATTTCTTGGCATCTTATTGGAAATGTTCCACCACTATTAGACGAGCAAACCTGAAATGTCATAAGTAATTGGTCTTTGAATCCTCGTGCTATTTTATATATATTGTATTTACTCGCATAATGAAAGCAATAACCATGCTTTATAAAGTGCAAACCTTTTTAGGGCACTTTCGGCGTGGCTTCTGCCAAAGGAGAAGCGCTCTACGAAGCTCACTCAGCCCAGAAAGCAACCCAACCGTTCTTAGGCGATATGTATTGCTAGTATTCGGTGGTGCGCTCAGGTATATAGCGGAACTATACACGTATAAGAATCAGAACGAAGTCCAACCCCCGACCGCGGAAGCCCGCTCGCACGGATCAAGTTTCGTTCACGGAGACGGCTGTTCCCAGGGGCTACCAGACACTCTCAGCCTACAGCACAGTGTGCACCTCGCTGCGCCGTTCTGTTACAGATTAAACAAAACACATTTATCGGGAGTATGTGAAATTAGGCCTGACCACTTTCACAATTTCACTGTCCAAAAGCAGACCTCAGACTACGGCTTGTTTGTTGACATCAATGCATCCGATAGGCGAAGAATGTCCGGGGCTCGGCCATTCCTCGACCCAAGCTTCGTCAAGTGTGCGCAACACTCGGTTTCACGGTTGATCACTTCCTTAACTGCCGCAACTACGCACTTGCAGCCATTACGAGAGCAGCCTTGCTTGGCTTACCTTGGCTTGACTTGGCCTGACTGCTTGGTGGCAAAAGAAAATTGGCTTGGTGGCTAGCTAAATTGGACGCAATTCGAGGCTCGCAGATCCGAAAATTGGGGGTGCGTTGATTATGCGAGGGAAAAAAAAAGTCCAAATATTGATGCTCGTTGTGGGGGTGCATTCAATATGCGAGTGCGTTCATTATGCGAGTAAATACGGTATACTCACTGTGCATCGGTGCTAACATTGATTCCCACGCATCATATGGCCTTATCGCCGGTATCCGGAAGGGTCACGGTAAAAATAGTCAAATTGTGCTACGAAATTAACTGCAGAGGTTGGGCACGTAATGATGTAATGCAAGCAAGTAGCAAACAACACTTGCCAGCATAAAAAAAAAAAAGTGGTGAAACGCAACGAAAAAATCTAGCACACCTCAGCATTTCTTACGAGTTGTGAATGTAAAAGTATGAACATCATTCTTCCGCTCCCTTAGTTTGTCTACGGTGTACTGGCATGGATGGCCAGGTTTCGCTACTGCCGAGGCTGCGGCCGCCGACGATATGGATGCTTCAGGCGCCGATAGAGCAGGAGCGGCCGCAGCCCCGGCAACGCACGACACGAGAGAGGCAGTCGAACGCGAGCCACGGGGAACACAGAGCCAATGGGAATTTATCCATCAAGTCGCCGCTACAGACTACAGGTCTTGCTCCAAGGGACAGGGGAATTCAGGTACCGTTAGGCGCGGCTTCAAAAGCTAAGAACGCCGACTCGCTCCATGGGACAGTTAATATACTTTCGCATTAAAACGCAAACGACGCATCTGCCAGGGTGCAGAGGGGAGAGCGGAGCGACGAGTTGAAGCAACCTAATGGCAGCCGCATCATGCGATTCCAAGATGGCAGCGCCTATGCGAGGATGAATGAAAAGGTCTATAAGCATCTGCAGTATGAAAACAAGGACGAATAAACATGATCATCATGAGCCCAAATGTTCAGTGCAGGTGGCTCTCGAGTTGGGGAATTATCATTTGACGCGGTTGAAACACCGACCGTCTGTACGACGACACGCTAGCGACACGGAGCGAAGGTAGTCGAGAAATAAAATATTCCCATTAAAGCGGGAATGCAAACAATGTATGAGGCGCCGATTTAATGAGGAGTTGTAAGAACACTCACCAATTCCAAGGTTCACTTTGAAGCGTAAGGAAGAAAAAAGAAAGAAGGGCTCCAGTACGACGTAAATTTAAGGATTCTATTACCGCAACATTTATTTCCCTGGGACGAGCAGCATCCACTCAGATGCTTCTATGTCGAGCCTCCCAAGCAGACGATGCCTGGAGCGCATCTCTCCCACCCAATCCCCAAGTGGCAACAAATAATTGTGCAAAAGTGTCCTGCCGTCGGGTGTTGGCAAAAAACCTGGCCAAAAGACGAGTGTCGCTGCCACGCTTCCGTCCACTGTGAAACTGAGGGATCGCCAGCAGCCAGACAGGTGTCTGTGACGTCCATCCCCGCTGCCCTGACAGGGATCACGGCCGGGCGGAAATCGAGCGATCACTTTTTATCATGCGCTCAACACACCGGTCGGAGGCAACGTAGTGCTACCGAGTTGGCTTTGTCCCAATACAGGTGCCAGCTAGCAAGATCCAATCACTCAGTCACTGTTCTCATCCATTTTTTTTTTTTTTCATTCTGTTTTCAAGCAATGTTTTTATCCTTTTAGGCTACTCCAAAACTTCCCCCACCCAGCAGCGGCAAAAACGAAATGTGACAGCGACCGCTTGCCCCTCTCCCACCACTCAAATTATCGTCACCATTTTTCTTTTACCAGTACACTATTGACGCGTCGTCGCTAGATGTGGCACTGCGAGCCCTGGCAGTACGGTCGGCTTGCCTTTCGGCGGTGCCGCGGCTCTCCCGAGTTAGAATAAATATCGACCTCAATACTGAGAGGTTACTCGAAGGCCGGGCAACGTTCCGACGGGCTAATTTACCGCCGGCATACGACGCTTCTACGCAACTGTATAAAATGTGAACGTAATGGCCTTAGAATTGCTCATCGCTACGTAATCTAATAAGAATAACGGTATTATACTCGCAGGTTTAACATAGAAACATACTTCTCAAAGTGCCCATTTATTCCCAGCTTAATTTCGTCCAACTGTTTTCGACTCGTAAAACTCAGAAACCCGAGATTGCCACAATGCCATTTCCCACGCCCACCCTCTGCCGTCTTCCACCGGAGCGTGGACGGGGAGTGCACTGGGGTGAGATCCTCACCCAGGGTGCCTGAACCGACGCTGTCGCTGTCCCGATCGAGGCTGTTGACGCCCGTCAGCACGTTGAGCAGGTAGACGGCCGTCCAGGCAAACGGCATGCGGTACTTGCCCAGGCGCTCGCAGGTCGCCACCGCGTTGCCTCGCACCTTGTCCTTGTTCTGCGCCCCGAGAGGACCTCCCGCAATGTACCAATTGGGACGGAAGAAGCACGCAGGACGAGCGCTCAACTTTTCTCTAAGTAAACAACGAAATCACCATTGCATCCACACAACTGGGCTGTCCCTTCTTTGTGCAACTAAACAAAACCTTGGCTTACACGGTTGTTTACCCCCCGCTTATTTACTTTGCGTGTTTGTAACGTCGAAAAGAGGACAACACGGGCAAGTGCCACGGGGGTGGATGACCCGCTGGCGATCTATCATTAATACGTCCGTGGTAAGCCCTCCCTAAGCTCGACGGAATCTTATAGCACATTCCACATACTTGTGTCTGTGTTTTACGGTAGGATGATTCCTACCTCCACTGTTCCGGTCAGTGGAGGTAGGGTCAGTGGTCCCGGGCAAATGCCACCACAGTTATCTTTCAAATCTCGGTTCACTGACAAACGGGGTCTCACCAATCATCTCGTCAAGGTTCAGAACGACATGCGACTGTGCATTCGGTTCACGACAAAAACCCCTGTATTGGTTTCCAGTTTGGGCCATACTATTTGTGTTTTAAGAGGAAGAGAGGTTGTGTTTTTGTAACAGTTAAAGCTATGGATCACAGAGATTGCATAAAATTGGAAGAGGGCCACTTGAAACTTCCCTATTCCGTCCTTTACCACTCCACCTTGCGCAGCCGCGGGGTAGCATGGAATAGGATGCGATGAATACGGGCTTCCCAACGACTACCTCCACGAGTTTATTTTTAAGGTATTGACGTTTATCCACGCCACAGATGTGTGCAACTTTTGCCGTGGGACAAATTAGTATTGCCAATGGCAATGGCACCAATGCCAAACCCAGCTGACATACATATTTGATATAAGTTCATTTTATTTTTCCTTGTCTAGCATATGTATACACCCTAATATTATTTATTTTTTTCATAATAAACACTGCGAAATCAAGTTCCGAATTTCGGAGATTTTGGAATCAAACAAAAATAAACTCTTATAAACTCGGATTTTTCGGAAATAAATAAACTCCGAAAAACGCCCTCCGAATTTGACGAAAAATAAACTCCAAAAAACGGGAATCCTAGTTATAATACACGGAGCTCAATGGCACCAGTTACCGAAAATGGTCGCCCTTTTCTCATTGAAATTTTCAGAAAATCACCTATAACTTCTGACTGAGATGACGGTTTGTTCTGAAACTTTGGCAGCTGGTTCTGACCGTCGGGGCTACATATTGGCAGAGAAAGAGTGTTCGGTAATGCATATTTTATTTTTGCAGTAAAAAGATCCTGTAAATTTTTTGGAGGGACACCCTGTACATAGCAATGTCCCGTGTCATCACGCACCCCACTTTTTGGGCGAATGTCGATTTTTAAAAAAACACGGAGCGATCGTCCGCCCCTACAAATACACCGATGCGGACTCCGCGATCTGCGAACATTTATCCTATTCGAATGACACGGCCACGGACCTTACGGTCGGAGGAAGTATGGGACGAAGTAAAACGAGAAGGAAAAAACACTTCATTTTGTTTATGCATTCTCTCCCCGATTTCGGCAAACCCGAAGTACATCCGCACGAAAGGCAAACATCGGAGATAACAAAATTAAACTTTGTTTTGCTTACGAAACAGCTCGTTAAAAAAAAAGTTAAAACGATAACACAACCAGTAACCTATTCAGGGATTGGTTACTGGTCGAACGCTCCACATCCTGGAATGCAACCGCAGAGCGCAAGGTCAAAGCTGTAAGGCAAATGCCCGTCTCCACCCAAATAATGTCACTGCGAACAGCCAAACATTCTCCCAGAACGTCGCGACCGCAATTGGTAAGGTTGTGGAATGTCAGCGACAAAGCCCGCGGGTAAACGCAGATTTGGAGGAACGCCGCACACAGACGTTTGTAAAGCGTCCCATTTCGACCTCCGTGTTTGCAGTGCCATCCACACCATGCAGCAACGCCGCCTCAATCCGCGTTGATAGCACGCCGTGCACGAACGCACGCATGCATGCACTAAACAAGAAAGTTGCGCAAGAGCCTGCTCTTTGTGATTGACAAGGCGCCCTAATCATCCCAACGTCAAAATATTTGCCAACGTAATCGCTGGCTTTCTCCCTTTCCCAGCATCGCTGTTCGTTGGTTCTTTCACTCACTTGCTCGCTCAATGCGCCTGGCTAATTCTTCTATTTTGTTGTTGACTTTCTTTTTATTATTTACGAAGAGAACATAGCGGTTTTGGTTGTATGCCGGTCGGCAGTTTTCATCGCGAGATGCAAGCAACGGACTTCACGATAGTAAAACATGCTTTCATGAGCTTATCATTTATAAAACAAGAAAACTAATTCGAGTTTTGAGCTTGCTGTATCACCCGTGCTAGATACCTACATAGAAAAAAATTTGTGTTTTTTTAGCTTTTTTCTAAACGTTTTGTGCTGACCCACCGAGATTTGGCCCACCCAAATTTTCTTAAGTTTCAGGCGGCAGGGGGTGGGAGGTGACTGCAGATATTACGGTATAGTCAAATACCGTGGAAGCCAATACTGGCAACTCCCGCGGAAAACGGGCGAAAAGTGATTGCAGCGCCCCTGGCGAGCACGGAGTCTTCGCTAGCAGACAAATTCTCCAAAATGCATTGGTTTTGCCTATCTCCGTGCGAGGTGGCCAACGAAAAAAAATTGTCACAGACATTCGCTGCTTTGAAACTTAAAAGATGGGTGCCAGCTCATAAGTGAAGGACATTCTCTTCGCGTGGGAAAGATGTTACAGCTTTCCCGGCGCAATTTCGGAGTTCTCCCGAAGAAAACATTCTGTCACAACTGATGTAAGCCAAGCAAAACACGAATGTATGCCTTCGCGCTGTTTCGTGAAAAAGGGAAATGTACAAACATTTTAGAACATAGCCTCGTTTCAACTTCATTGTTCTTATCAGTCAATTCGTTTTGTTGTTGCAATTCCCATTTCTCATGAATGTCTTGCTTATAACCGTTTCGTCGACAGGCGAGCTGGCTAATCCCGTTAAGATCGTCTCCGGATGAAGAAGCAGAAGTCAATTTCGAACCACGTACGTTACGGCGATGCCAGTATGCTCCGAAAGAAGTCATTGTGCATATGCAAATCTGACGCGATTATAGATTAACAAAAGCGGAGTTACGAAAAAAGCAGACTTCTCGCGCTTGCAAAGAAAGAAGGGGAGAGCGTCGTAGCCCCGCTAAAAAAGGTGATTTCAGTCACGTTATTTACAGTGCACAAATTCCGATTGTTAGCGCGGGGACGACCAACATCTGCTTCGCTGCTTCCTTACTTCTACGATAAAGGCCGACACCCGTTAAACCGTCTCAACTCTTTCCATTTTTGAGTCTTCTTTCTTTTATATTTTTGAGGCGACGGCACTCTACCGCGTTATTTCTTCCTCCTGCTTATATGTTGCTGTGTATATTTCTTTTTCTTTTTTACTTTTTTTTTTTTTTTTGCCCAACGTGTAAACTATTGCGTATTCTTGCTTTGTTTGGCTTAGTTTTTACCCCCTTCCCTTCGCTTCGGCGCTTACTACCCCCAGTTCGTCTGCGCTAGGCCCGGGCATTTTGAGGGCCATCTGCAACTTTGCTGTTGTTGTTGTTGTTGTTTTTTTCTTCCACTGTCGTCTGCGATAACCTGCTATTTTCGCCTTTGATTGAGTTTCTAATCCAAAATCGTCATACGTGCTTTTTTTATATTTATTAAATATATTAAGAAGTGTAAGCTCATTATCCATTTTTATTTTGAAATTTATTTGTGTACTCCAGCCGGCACGTCTGCTACGGGTCATAGTTTGTTGATCAACCGGCCGCATTCGAGCATACACCAGAGCATACTTAGAGATGGCAGGCATGCTATGTGCTGCCTGCCATTGCAAGAACAAGTTTGTGCAATGTGGTGGAAAATCTTTCTTCTGCTTCCTACGTCAACCTACGGACACCTACGTCAACAAGTACTTGAATGCATTTTTAAACTGCTTCGTCAAGCGAGCGAACGAACAACTCGCCAAAGTCACTGGAAAAAGAAATTCGAAAGCAAAAAAAAGGTTACTCACTGCTAGCACATATAGAAGATTGCTGCCTGCGACCAAAACATTTCTGCGACTCTTTTTTACTGGGCAGCGAAAGCTGCACTACGTTATTAATTTCCCTGTTTTGTTTTTAGTTCGTACCTACGCCGCGAAAGCAAATAAAGAAATGTACAACAAGCAGCTGAAAAAAAAGGGACGCTTTCTTCTTTTTTCATTAGTTTCGTCTGTTGCTTCCACTTTGTTTGTCGTGAACTCAACACTGGTGGCGACCACCAGTGTTGAGTTCATTTGCTGCTTTGCATTTTTCTTTGTTTTTTCTATAAGCGCCGCAACGATCGTCATCGTTGAAATAGTTTTTTGCTAGCTTCTTTGTTTTATTCACCGTTGTTCGCTATCTTTCCCGTTTCTTCTTATTTTCGTCGGGAATGGCGACACCATTTTTTCTGCAAAGTTCGGTAAGTGTTTGCACGGTCATTTTTATCCTTACTTTTTGTTTTGTTTTTATGCTCCAGCAGCTCGTGCGCTTGCTCTGGTAATATTAACATGTCGTTTTTGCATGTTTTAACGATTACGACGTAGTTCGAGTAGCTAAACACCTTTTTTACGCTTCCCAGACGCGTTAGAAATGCGTGTGATCCCCTGAGGGGTGTTTGAGACCGCTAAACAAACTGCTCTATCCTTGTTTATGCGCGCATTGTTATTCGATTGTCATTGCAGTTGCGATCAGTGGATTCCGCTTTGCAAGCAGACTGACCGTAATAAATTGTTTCTGCTGTTAAGGTGACGAAACGGGGCTCGTAAAGCTCGAGGACGTCGCAGAGCCTATACTTTTCCATTGCGACGACTGCTTCCGTAGACTCCGAGTCTGCTAGAGGCGCCACTGTCACGTTCGCCGCCGCTCCTATGTGTTTTCGGAGGAGTTTCCAGTATTGGCGAAGCCATATCGTATTTGGTATAGTATTTCTCACAATACCATTGTCTCTTATACCACAGAGATAATCATCAATTGCGATCAGACTAGTGACACTGAGATTATTTCTTTTAGAAAGCACAATTGACAGGAAGAAAATCCTTCTCACCACCTTTTCGTCTTTCATGTAGGGCTCTGCACATTCAGTAATGTCTCCCTGCAGAACTTTCTCCAGCTGAAAAATAGACCATTTCGGAATGAGATGCAGAAGAGCAAACAACGACCACCAGAAAAAGTACTTCCTGGACCAAGCACTGATCGTTATACTTGCTTTAAATGTAAAGAGAATCACCCATTGAAACAGTCTAGTGCACAATGCATAAGTCATTACAAACTGACAAATGTCACGGCATCCATGGCACTAGCTATGACACTATACACACTTAGTGTGCGTTTCTTTTATTCCCTCCTTAAAGGCCAGGGCATTACATAAGGGGGGGACAGTATAATTAGAAATACAATAACAGATGCATTAGTACAACAATAATAGAGCATACAAAAAAATAAGAACGGGAGAAACTACACATAATGGGCTAGCAAGAGATCGTAAAACACTGTTACATCAGTGGTGCTAATAGAGAGTTTTCGTAGATCGTTTTCGCCGTCCCGCAAGGCCCTCCGCAACCCGCTACGATAGCGGGAACTCCACAGTCAAGGCTATCGGCGCGCAGGCGCAGTAGCAACTTCTTCGTTGCGGAACGCTTAGCGGAGGGGGCAACGCGGTCTAAGAAAACTCCCTAATGATGGAGGTTGGCAATTGGTTCCATTCTGTGATAGCACATAAGAGGAATGGACCATTGAACGCGTTAGTTTTCCCGAAAATTCGTGTAATTGCGTGTGAGTTATTCAGGCAGGATGATATTCCATCGGGCGGTGAGATGCCAAGCGTTCTTTAGTTCTAGACAAGGGTACTAATACATTTTATGAAGAAGGCAAAGACGAGAGAGTTTCCTTCGGGTGAGTAAGGGTATAAGTCCAAGCTGACTTTTTAGACAAGAGACATTGGAGAAGTGGTCATACTACGATAAGATGAATCGGGCGGCTCAATTTTGTGGTTGATAAGACAAAGACAAAAACAAAGACTCTTGACGAAGACGATCCCGTCTTCGTCAAGAGTATATTGGAAGGGTAAAGGAGACAATTTACGGGTGAAATGGATTAGTTTACACTTAAATCTGTTAAGCAACATCAGCCAGTTTCTGCACCCATTGTTAATTTTTAGGAGATCACTTTGAAGCAAAAGATCATCAGTGTCTGATGTTATGGTGTCAAAACTAATCCAGTCATCAGCGAAGTCTTATTTTGCGGGAGATGTTATACGGAAGGTCGTTTATGAAGATAAGGAAAAGCAGGGGTCCAAGGACGGAACATCTGAAAGTTCCCACCATAATATTTATACCGTTTTGTGGAACGTGTGAGTATATTCTTAATTTCAGAAATCGTTCCTTACTGATTTTTAGACAGTACACAAACTTGCGACCGTCAGTTTGCGAAAACTTCGAAAAGCACGAATATTACAACTGCTCTCGAAGCGAATATCGAATAGAGTAATATTCCAAACTACTATTCAAAAATTCAAATATTCCCACAACACTAACGTTAAGGCTTTTTCCGTACTCCAAAAGTTTGGCTCGGGCTTGCCGCACCGAAGCAAAAAAAATTCTTGCGGACAGCAAAATCGTTTCCTTTTAGCTTGTTCAGTATGTCGCTTTGAGCTCCACTTTCGACCCTCAAATTCATCATTCCATCCATGCATTCAGAGCACTTTGTTAAGAAAAGTGACTGACTGCCATAAAACTCTCTGCAATCTTCAAACAAAAAACCAGACACATGTAGTAAATGAAACATTAATTAACAATGAAAACAAACAAAAAAAGAATTATTTACTGCTTTTTAATTTTTATACGTCAATGCTTTAAATGCCTGTATCAACATTACAAGCACACTACGACTGCTTACCGTATTTATTCGAATATAAGTCAACCTTTTATTTTTGGAAATGTCAAAAATTAAGAGTCGACCCAGAATCGTGATCAAAGAATTTCGACCTACATTCGCGACCAAATTTTGCGACCCTACTGGGGGCATTAAGCTATCGAGTCACCGAGCCATAGTCGCCGTAAAGCTGCGCCGCTTCTTGTTTCAAAAAGCTTTTGGTGCACGAAAACAACCGAAACAGCAGCAGCTGACGGCCCGGGGCTCACATGTTGCTCACGGCGGCTCGCGGCGTTCCCGGCGTTACTCGCATCTTTGTATTTGGTCTTTCGTCGCTTCGCCCGTCTCCACCTTCTTTTGTTTCTTCTTGTCGCCATTTTACAACAGTGTCAGTGAGGTATTGTTGCCAATTTGCAAGGATGTCTGCCAAGCTGACGAAGCTTCGGACGACAATCACATGTCCAGAAGTTCTGAGGATGATTAAGTTTTTGGCATCGCGCTGTGATTTAGCTGAGCTGTAATTAGCTCAGCTAAATCTGTAATTAAAGCTAAAGCTGTAATTAGAGGTTTGTTTCTTTCTTTTGCCCGAACTTTCCCCTGTTACTAAAAAAAAAAAGAAGAAAAAAAAGTCAACCTATATTCAATTTTTTTTATTTTTTTTTATTCTCGACAGGTACAATAATGGGGGTCGACCTATTTTCATGGTCGGCCTATTTTCGAGTCAATATGGTAATTCGAGAGAAGGTTGGGCTGCAGTCACGTAAAAAGCATACTGATGTTAGAAAACTGAAAAAAAGATCACCTTACAATAAAAAGGCTTCGGCAGAAATAATATAAATGTAGTAAACAAAAATTTCACAACACTTGTGGAGCTGGTAGTGCAAGCATTTTAGGCAGACTTTTCATTTAAATGAGCACGCAATAAATGAGACTCAATTTGTATATATAAAGAAAAAATTTCAGTGCTCGTTAGAACAGCCACAAAAAAACAGTTTTCCCGAAAATTAACCGTTTTTCCGCGCAACATTTAAAGGGCAACTCCACTTAATTTCAAAAATTTTGAGATAGTGGCCGATTTTGCTTTTTGAAGCACTCAAAAACAATCCCCAATCCTTTGTTTCGCGAAAAATAAAATATTTTTCGTGTAATTTTGCTCTAGCCATGATCACAAACCGAAACCGAAACGGTGGCAAAGCCGGACAACATTGTATATTCGGCATCACTAAGCATGTACACCCACGTGATATACAATGGGAAGAAGGAGCTCCCCTCTTATCAGGATCCTCCTTTGTGCCTCCTGGATTAGCACAGGCGTCGCTATTTTCCCCCCAGAAGATTATAGAAGATTAACCTGTCACTCAAAATTCTTACAAAAGCAGCTTCCCTCTCCGGGGAGAGCACGGCGTTGGCGCCACCCGTGCTCTCCCCGGGAAAGAAAACAAAATTGAAAAAAAAGATGCTGTACATGCTTGATGACGTCACGGACGTGCCGTTAGAAGGAATTTGGAGGAAGCGGAAATGCAGCCGGGCAGTGTTGTCTGGCCCGCACGTCTCATCCAAAACCAGCGGATTCGTGCTTGTCAAACTTTGACAGCGATTTTAATGAACTTCTAGGCGGAATTCCGTCGTAATATTTGCCATGGGGGTTTTGTAGATGATAACAAAGAGAACTGTATAGTTTTGCACTACTGGAAAAGAAGCGGAGTTGCCCTTTAAGTCACGCGATTCATTTTGAGAATTCTGACGCACTTCTATTTTGGGACAAGGTGTCAAAATAAAAGCACATTTTGGAATTGCTCGTCGCTCAAAATGACTCTCACAATGCGAATATTGGGATAAAAAAAACTTTTTTTGGCGGAAAGTTTCTCTCGTGACGGGCCCTTTAAAAAATTCAGAATCACCGCTAAATAAATGCATCTCACGACATAAATATTGCGCAAAAAATGTTTCTTTTAGGAAAGAGCCTTTTTCACGGAATACACAATTTATCCGAGCATCCAACGTAAAAAGTATTTTTTAAACTCTCTAGCTCACCTTAACGACGAGAAAGAGGTCAGTCGAAGGGTATGTGACGTTGAAGATGCAGGCTCGGCTGAGTGTCGAGATGTCGTGGTACGGGACATGGCTCGACAGCATGCGCTTCAGCGGTTCCGGGTTCATGTCGAAGTAGAAGTTCTCCGAGACCTGCGCGCGGCAGAGACGGCGTCCACGTACCTTAGCGTACAACGAGAATCAAGTCAGAACACAATGTTCGAGGGGCGGCAAAGGCTCATCGTCCGCGGAGAACATATGGCACGACGAGCGGAGATTGCCTCACACTATCGCGGCAAAGGCGGTGGCCAACGCTACAGGGACTAGGTTACGCGCAGAGCCGAGCCAACGAAGGTCCGACGTCCCACCGACGCTCCCACTGTACAGCGCCGCCGAGAGAGCAGTTGACACGCCGGCTTTGTCTGCCGACTGCCGCGAGTACGGGTAGTAATGCCACGCCAGACGACCATCCAGATCCATCGGTGCTTGTCGGGAAAAGGGTTCCCTAAATGCGGTGCGGCCAAGCAAGTGGCGCAGGTCACAGCATGCGCCGCTTCTGCGTCACTTGCTCCAGGCGGAGAACGTAACAAACAAGCTAAAACGTTCAGCCGGGACTCCACGAATCGGCGCACGAGTCCGACACCGACGCAGCACGTGCGCGACTCTCTTCCGTTACGGGAGCATGCTACGTGAAGTGGCTGGGAGCCAGCCGTACGACAGATTCTGCGCCAAATTTCTGCGTGAAGTGAACTGCCTCCGAAACGCTGCATGTGTGTGCGTCAAGCAAAGATCGAAACAAATTCTGAAGTGCTACTACGGCGAAATGTGCGCAAAAAAAAAGAGTGAACCTTTTTTCTCTCTTTGGCGTCATAAAGGGCCATGCTTCCGAAGATGGGCTCGATCTCAAGTTCCAACCTGCAATGAGTGACGGGCATTCTTTGACACCAACAAGACGGTGAAGAGTTTGTTGCGGGATGAGACACTTTTTAAGAACGGCAGGCACCCGTGAAAAGTAATTTTTGGGACCAAATATAATCTGGAGGTACACCTTTAGGAGAATTTCTAATTCAATTAATAGACATTTTTTAAAGTACGAGACCTCCGTTAGAAAAAAAAATTCCGATTCAGTTAGTGCGAAATAAACTTTATTCATTGAGGGTGCTGTTGAGTAATAGTTGGCATGTTTCAATTATCATTGTCTTTTTAATAATTTCTCAAATGACAGTAGAAGCAAAGTTATAAAAGCCATTCCCAGGTTTCAAAATATTTTTTTTAATAGAATACATTGCATTTTGCATGTGCATCCCAAAACTAATTTGCCATATAGAGACAATTAAAACCTAAATTAAAATCTTCTGCGTATAAGCGATCTTGACAATGCAAACCTTATCAGGTTCATAATGCAAAAGGGCACTGGGTCTCTGACACATTTTGCTAATAGCTGCCTTACAGTTCTTAGCTTTGATTAGACAAAATTTTACATAAAAATACATAAGACCCTGATGTCACAGGTGCCACTTCCCTGCAGAGTGCCTCTTTTGTGGAGAACAACGCTCAAATAAGCCAAATTAGTACCAATTAACAAATTCTGAGAGAACCCTGACATGATTCCAAATTATTAAAAACATTTTGATATTTACTCCTATTTCGATTGCAGTCAAAACAAAAAGCTCTGTAATTGGTGTTTCAAAGTGAAGATTTCTGTGTCTACAAAACTGTCCTCCCCCAAAGTCCAGCAAATGCAGCTCATGGCAGGACAGGGGTTCTCAAAGGGTTCTGTGCAATGCAAGCTCCATGAGCCCATGTCCATGAAGCAGCTAAAGAACTGATAGAGCAATTCTCTTCTTAATTAATAAATTACATTAAGAGTTAGCAAACATTAACTCCCTTGCCACAAGAATGTGGGATGGGTTACAGATGACCATTCCCTCGTATCATAATGCCTATGAACCAGCAAACAGAATTCGAAAGTTGGAAAATTCCTTTGGGTTTATGCTCAGGCTTCCATGATGTGCCATGTTCAAGAAGAAAAAAAAACCCTCCTACTCCATGGTTAAGGGCATTGTAGTCCCAAATTATTAGCAATTTAAAACAAATATAAAAAAAGAAAACGAGGTGCAGAAAAAAGGCTTACTTGAGAGCAAGACATCGAACGAGGATGCGGTGACCCAAATGTTCCCGAGGTAAGTCGGCTGGCAACCTCCGCTCCACAATTTCTTCCTGAAATTTCGCCCAAAGTCAGCACAAATAAGAAGTATTGAAACAAACTTTAAATCAGTACGCACGAAGCAAAAATTGAAGAGCAAATACTGCGGAACGTATTGATAAAAGAACTTATGTGTATGTATCAAAAGAATTCAAGCTTTTAAAGCGAGTGAATATAATGCAAGCACATAGACATGAAATAAATTGGGCTCTCAGATATTTTATATTGCAACCTAAAACGTTTGGTCCATTAAAACTCACGATTGTTAATTATGTAATAAAAATGTTTCCTAATTCTGAGCAGAAATTTTCTGGATCTGAGAAACAACGGCATTGGGAAGATTGTTTCATGGCAAGCTAGAGTTATTGAATGCTAATGGTGACCTGAAAATACCTTCGAAGCTCTCATTAATAATAGGTTTAAGAGGGAGCAAGATACTGCGCGAGCGGGGTTGTTACAGAATCTGCAAGTTAAGCATATGAGTGAAATTGTATGCCACGTTTCTACCAAAGGGAAACATTTTTGTTTTATTAGTGATATGCTGTCAAACCTATTTAATCAAGTAGGTTTGATGAGGAGACCAGACAGCGGATGTGTATTCTAATTTCAAGCGGACACACGTTTCGTACGATTGTTTGCGAAGGCGAGCGTATTGATAGGATTTTGTTGATAGATTAGGGACAAAGAGGAACAGAAAATAAAGGTGGAGAACAGGGATGATTGCCATTGCTTGGCTCCAGTCTCCACCGCTTTTCTGACCTTTATTTACCACCTTAACAACTCTACATTGGCGATGAGGATAGGAACACAACATTTTCCTCTCTACCTTTATGGCAACGTATTCCTCCCTCGCAGAGACAAAAACCACTTTTGTCTATCCTCACAAATCCACAAGTTTCTCCATCTGCACCAATGGAGCGTTTTGCCGCACTATAATTTTAGAGTGAAACACACACGTGGAATTAGCAATCCTTCAGACTACCAGTCTCGCCACCCCTTGCCGAACTGCCCTGCTGAAGCTAATCTAACTCGTACCACCAGTGCATATGTCAACTTCATTGCCAAACACCAAGTTCCAAAAGCCATGACTAGTGCCGTCGATCCAGACCTACAGCAAGTAACTGCCGCCCTCAAGAATCCTGCCAACTGGAGCAACCCAGCGCTGAGAATCAATACAATACGAGCTGTCTCTGACAAACAGTGGTGTACTTCTGAAAGGCCTCGTCTTACCTGCCACTCTTTAACAACAGCTCTGTTGAAGCAAAAAGTTTGGTTTCTACACCTAGACAGCATGATGTCGGCAACTCTAAAGAACAGCATGGCATGGCCGGCAACTATCAAGCATCGATAAGCTGAACCCGTCGCTGTTCCAGCAAAATCCAACCAGGCTTGAAAAGCTCTCTCACTTGATTTTGGACAATCATCCCCTAAGAGAAAATACTTAATGGTTCTAATAAATGATGCTTCGCGATATCCTATCGCAAACATAATATTGTCACTTGCAGCCCCAACAGTAATTAACAATCTTACGAAGATTTTCAGTATTTTTGGAATCCCGAAAATCATCAAGACGGACGCACCCTCATTCCAGAGCCACGATTTTAAAAAAAATTCACTCGGTCATTAGGATTCCACCATCACCGCATTACGCCATGCTGGCCACAAGCTAATGGCGAAGTTGAGCGGTTTATGCGCACGCTCGAGACATTCATACAAGCGACGACACTGGAAAACAACACTCGGACCACCGAGTTGAGTAAGTTCTTAATGCGGTCAACAGTAACGCGAACAGCAGATATGGTGACACACTGATCTTACAAATCGCAAAAAACACAAGGTTTATGCATGAACTCACAACCTCAATATCGGGGATCTTGTTGTCTGCAAGCAAAACCAGACGAACAGGCTGACTCCTCCGTATGACCCCAAGCCATACATGATCACCGAGATCAACGGAGCATGAATCACTGCACGAAGGGGTCAAACAACAATCACTAGGAGCTCTAGCTTCTTTAAATCTGTTCCTGCTAGCACAAATCCAAGGAGAAATGAAGAAAATGATGACACAGATACCACATGGTTCACTACCAATCCATACGAAATTGATGCTGACAACACGCCTCAAAACCATAAAGCTCCTGAACCTGATGAAAGCCTTGACGTGTTTGTGGAAGAAAGAGAGCAACTGCCCGCTGAAGCATCAGTCCCTCAGGGGCGGGACTACCAATTCGTGCCAAACAGACTCGGAGACTATATCCCTCTCTAACTAGAATTATTTTCTACCGAAATTTATTTCTCTCCTTCTGATGTAGTGATGGGATTTTATTGATAGATTGGGGGCAGAGGAACAGGAAATAAAGGTGGAAAACAGGGATGGTCACCATTGTTTGGCTCCAGTCTCTGCTGCTTTTCTGGCCTTTATTTACCACTTAAACAACTCTAGAGCAAGGGGGGGGGGGGGGGGGGGTGTAGACTTTAGACTATCGAGGGTACGGGATGCTTTAGCAGTTATTAATCTGAGAGACCCAAGAAAGGTTTTAGGTTAGTTCGACACACTGCATGGACAGCGAAGACGGGTGAATTGTTGAGTGAATAAACAAGTTCTGAGTTCGTACGGGTGAAAGAAACTAGTTTCCACTTTGCAGTGAATTACCTAGTCAATATCGCTTTGGAGCTGTAAGTGATCATCAGGATTGTTAATTTTTCTATATATTCAATGTAGATTATGAATAGAAGAGGACCATGCACCTTGAAGCACCGAGGAGGTTATGCCATTAAGATTAGATTTAAAATCACCCGTTGCTGTGAACTGCCGTCTTTGGGAGGGGAAGTTAGGGACCCAGGAAAAAAGCTAAGTCGTCAACGTGAAGCGAGTAAAGTTTAGATATTAACTGGCAATGGGGGCACACAGTCAAAAACTTCGAAGAAATAAAAAAATAAGGCATCTGTCTGGATGTCAAGGTCCCTTTTAATACCGTAAAATACCGGTGGAGCGCCCACCTCGCTTCCACCGAAAACTGCAATAATCTAGACATGGCTGCTTGTCTGGTCAAGTCAAGCACTTAAAGGGCAACTCCGCTTAATTTCAAAAATTTTGAGATAGTGGCCGATTTTGCTTTTTGAAGCACTCAAAAACAATCCCCAATCCTTTGTTTCACGAAAAATAAAATATTTTTCGTGTAATTTTACTCTAGCCATGATCACAAACCGAAACCGAAACGGTGGCAAAGCCGGACAACATTGTATATTCGGCAACACTAAGCATGTACACCCACGTGATATACAAGGCGAAGAAGGAGCTCCCCTCTTATCAGGATCCTCCTTTGTGCCTCCTGGATTAGCACAGGCGTCGCTATTCTCCTCCCAAAAGATTATAGAAGATTAACCTGTCACTCAAAATTCTTACAAAAGCAGCTTCCCTCTCCTCCTTTTACTTGGTGTTCAAAAGTATGCGATGTAACACAAGCCGCGCTCAACGAGGCGATGGGCCTATCAGTAGTATCAATAGTCGAGCGCCGGGCCGGCCGAGCGCGTCACTCACGTCTTTCACGGCGCTGGCGCCACCCGTGCTCTCCCCCGGAAAGAAAACAAAATTGAAAACAAAAAGAAGCTGTACATGCTTGATGACGTCGCGGACGTGCCGGGAGAAGGAATTTGGAGGAAGCGGAAATGCAGCCGGGCAGTGTTGTCTGGCCCGCACGTCTCATCCAAAACCAGCGGATTCGTGCTTGTCAAACTTTGACAGCGATTTTAATGAACTTCTAGGCGGAATTCCGTCGTAATATTTGCCATGGGGGTTTTGTAGATGATAACAAAGAGAACTGTATAGTTTTGCACAACTGGAAAAGAAGCGGAGTTGCCCTTTAACATATAATTTCTTAAGTTTGGAAAATGTTAATAGTGGGCGCTTAAAAAAGTAGGCGCTTCCGCGGTATTTTACGGTGTGCATGTCATGAGCGAATTTAAGTATTTGAAGCAAATACGATATAGCTTCGCCAATACTGGAAACTCCTCCAAAAACACATAGGAGCGCCGGCGAACGTGACAGTGGCGCCTCCAGCGGACTCGGAGTCTACCGAAGCAGTCGACGCAATGAAAAAGCATAGGCTCCGCGACGTCCTCGAGCTTTACGAGCCCCGTTTCGTCACCTTAACAGCAGAAACAATTTATTACGGTCTACAATTTATTACGGCTACGACGCTCTCCCCTTCTTTCTTTGCAAGCGCGAGAAGTCTGCTTTTTTCGTAACTCCGCTTTTGTTAATCTATAATCGCGTCAGATTTGCATATGCACAATGACTTCTTTCGGAACATACTGACATCGCCATAACGTACGTGGTTCGAAATTGACTTCTGCTTCTTCATCCGGAGACGATCTTAACGGGATTAGCCAGCTCGCCTGTTCGACAAAACGGTTATAAGCAAGACATTCATGAGAAATGGGAATTGCAACAACAAAACGAATTGACTGATAAGAACAATAAAGTTGACACGAAGCTATGTTCTGAAATGTTTGTACATTTCCCTTTTTCACGAAACAGCGCGAAGGCATACATTCGTGTTTTGCTTGGCTTACATCAGTTGTGACAGAATGTTTTCTTCGGGAGAACTCCGAAATTTCACCCAGAAAGCTGTAAGATCTTTCCCACGCGAAGTGAATGTCCTTCACTCATGAGCTGGCACCCATTTTTTAACTTTCAAAGCAGCGAATGTCCGTGACAATTTTTTTTCGTTGGTCACCTCGCACGGAGATAGGTAAAACCAATGCATTTTGGAGAATTTGTCTGCTAGCGGAGACTCCGAGCTCGCCAGGGGCGCTGCAATCACTTTTCGCCCGTTTTCCGCGGGAGTTGCCAGTATTAGCTTCCACGGTATTTGGTTGAAGGTTGCAAGAAAATCCTTCGCAAAATCAGTACCGGTATGTATTTGAAATATTTTCAATATGAAACATGACATTTGAAAGAATAACATGTTGTTGCAATTTTGACACAACACAGTTAATGATATAGGACGAT